TTGTTGGAGCCTCCAGGTGCTACTGTAATACAAATAGTAAGAGTAAAGAATATTCATATAAGAGGCAGCAATTATAAAGGAGTTATAAACTGAAAGCTTTAGGGTGTTGACACCGTAAGATTTTCCTTACCTGGCATTGCATAGGGCAATTATATGCTATACCCTATACAATTATTCAGTATCTTAAAGTGCTTTATCAACATTAACGTATATTGCACGTGTGTGAGAATGATATTATTTATACCCATTTGAGGAGTGTTATACTGAACAACATGAGTCAGTGACAGAGGTGGAAACAGAACCCAGGAGTCCCAGCTCCCAGTCTAAACCCCAGCCATATATTTCAAAGTATGTTAAAGGAACTAGAACGGCATTTCATTTTCACAACAGTTCAGCTCTCTGTGGTTTTCTTGGCATGGAGCGAGTTGGAAATGTACGTGGTTGGAAGTCAGCAAAGTAATGTAAAGCACAGACACGAACTTACAGTTTTTGATTTGGTGAATTTGTCTTCACATTTGATTGCCTCCTCTGGGGAAACTCTTCTTTTTGACAAGTCAATGTAACCTAACAGGAAGCAAAACATTTTGAAAGATTCAGTTTCAGTGTACAGAATACAAACACTTCGCTTACATTAGTGACAAATGCTCCGAGCCTTACGCATCAGGCACTGAGATCAGTTACAAGCTAAGCAGAACTTCCAGAATAATTTAATCAGAGATGAATAACAAAGATTGAACCTGTTTTAGCAGATTAAAATTTGTTCTTTGGACTGTAAATCAACTTAAAACAGCTACCTTTCACATCACCAACATTTTTAAAATACTGCTTCTATTTAAGAGCATTTGCCCCAAAATTCAGTACAAGTTTCTCCTTATGCTCTACTTCAGCGATTAACTAGCCACTACTATTCCAAGAACTGTGCACATTCTTCGCAACAATGATGCCGGCACACACAAAAGTAAATAAAAGGGATACTTTTGGTAGCATTTCACAAGAAACCATTTGAAGTTGGCAGTCTTGGTAGTTTAGATGGGTATGACTCTACAGCAGTGGTTCTTAACCTGGGGTGCATGCACCCCTTGGGAGTGCGAGATGGCCTTTCTGGGGGTGCGAAACATGCTGGTTTTTTTAGAAGATAAATCATCGAAATCACAAATTCAGTACAGGCATGTAAGTACAACTACTTTGTTTCATCAAACCTAAGTATTTATTAACATTATACATTTTTTAACAATTACTATAATATACAAATAGGTTTAAAGAACTGACCTACTTCAACGATTTTTGATAATAGTGCAAGAACATATTTTGAGAACCAAAGAGGTGCACGCTGCAGTAAACGTTAAGAATCACTGCTCTACAGTATCATAGCCAAGATCTGGGCTCAATTTCTGCTGCAGTTCCTTGATCACATCTATGTAAGAAATGAGAGCACAGCATGCTCAGATACTACAGGTAGGCAGGTCTTCCAATGCTTAATCCTGTCTGATTAAGCAGCAGCACTGATGGGTTCCAAATGGCATCCCAACTAGTCCATCTCAGGAGTTCCTCTCAGGGTTCAATAAGAGAGGCAGATGACCCCAAGAGAGCTTTTTTAAAAGGAGGACGAAATCTGTAAAGGTAAAAAGTATCCTTCAGTGCAGCTTCTTTCATCTGGAACAGACTTTCTGCATCTCTCCAACTCATTTCAAATCTCATCTGAAAATGTTTCTTCTCCCTTATTAACCCTCTCAATTTCTCTCTGCTGTTATCCGTGATTCAATTCCGATAAATATTTTAGGAATACATTTTATATGTAAGACTATACTGGGGTGGCCAAACTATGGCTCACGAGCCACATGCAGCTCTTTTACAGTTCAAGTGCGGCTTGTGAAGCCCCTCGCCCCTTCTCCACTGGGGGGGTGGGGGGAAGGAGGAGAGTGGGGAGAAGAAAACATGCTTTACAGAAGAGAACACTGCTTTACAGTGGCATCGTGGGGTAGCGACTGAAGCCCCAAGCCCTGGCAAGTGTGCCCCAACTCTCAAACTTCTGAAGATCGTCCTATATGGTTCAGAGCGTCAGTAAGTTTGGCCACCCTTGGACTATACAAATGAAACAACTGTATTTTCCGGTTTCTAAAAGAGGATGCTTGTGTGTTTCATTAACTACTGAGACAGGTCCGAACACAGATGTGGCACTGTTATCTGCGAATACTGAGGGGACTGCTTGTATGCTGTATCCTATACCAAATGCATTAAAAGAACTTTCAACTTGTAATGCTAATTATTCAAAAGTCAGGAAATACCAAAGTTAAGGGTGCCTATGCAACCTTACCTCTACCCATGTGTGTATGCATTATATGATGGAGAATAGTTACATGATCATATAATATTGTGTACACATTGCCTCTGCCTTATTTGGTGCACAGGATGGACTGTGTGGTGTGAATGAGGAAATTGTTCATTATTTATGTTTATTCTCACTGCACCAGTAGTATCGATGGTCACCGTTTTCCTCACTCTATATCAACAAGCAGAAGCACTACTGAACTTTCAAAAGAAAATGCCACTTCACTATGGCTTGTTGACCAAGCATAAACTTTAGAAGTCTTAAGGCCTGATCCTGCAGATCCTCCTTCATATGACTCCTCCTCTCTCCTACAAGCAGTCCCTCTGAAGCCAACAGGACTACTTGCCTGAGTAAGGATAACACACAAGGACAGCAGCTTGCAGCATCAGGCCTTACTTTGTGCCACTATATATTTAAAAAACCAATTACAAATTCAAAGAGTAGCTAGGGTCCCAGGTTTTACAGCATTGCTTTTTACAGTTACAATCAGAAGTGTCATTCCACCTACTTTCCCAACATACCTTTCTCTTTGTCGACCCTTATGACCACAACACACTCATTCCTGCCTATGCGGATGAGTTTGTTTATGGAGCGGATACGTCTCCTGGATAGTTCACTAAGAAGAATCATGCCTTCAATGTTGTTGTATTCCAGTAGGCTGACATAAGCTCCCATTTCAGCAATGGATCGAACATTGACCATCACTACATCTTCCACCTCTGGAAATTTATGCTGGTAGAATCTACAGCTTAGTCCAGGCATACTGTGATTTGAGTAAAAGAAGCAGAGATTATTATTCATCTCACTGCACTGGCCACCACTAATCCACTGTTGTGGCAAATACTTTGAGATTTCAACTGCAGGTGGAGGACAAAGAAAAATGTTTCCTTGTTTGTCCACAATTTGAAATTGTGCACCAACTAGCTCATGATTTCATAAACTTTGGCATGTAGAACTTATGCTTAAGTACTAGTAACACTCATTAAGCCTTACAAATTATTAACAACTTTAATATTAAACTATATCAAGCCCTTTACCTATCCGGTCATCAATTGCCAGGAAATGTCCAACCAAAAGGGTTTTGGCCATTCCATTAAAAATTGATAGCTATGTTAGGAGAATAAGAACAGCTGGTGCAAAGAAAGCCTAAGTAAGGCACGGTGATGCTGATCGGAGAGGGAAATACCAAGAACCAGCTGGGACTCTTTCGTCTCCTTCCCTTGAAGGCAATCAGCAGCAAGACAGCACCAAGACCCTATTAGAATCCTCACTAAAACAAAATGATCGGCATCACTGGAAAAGAAAATGCTTTCTACTACCTCTAGCTTGCTAGGAAACTTTGCTTCTTCTTCCTGTATGAAAAGCCACACGTTTGTCACCTCTAAGCTTAATTACCATAACTCAGTGTACTAGCCTGAATATTTAATGCCATGCAGAATGCAGCGGGCCAAGCCTCTGTGAGGACACCAGGCCTGGGTCTGTAGCCAGTAGCTCTCATTCTGTTTCAATTGTCAGTTCAAAGCTTTGGTCCTGATCCTGAAAGCTATCCATGGGTCAGGACCCAGCTATATCAGGCTTCCGCTCACGACCTCCCTTGAGGAAGGCGGCAACACAAGAACAGGAACAAGCCAGCAGAGGGTCAACGGGCAAGACGACCCAGCGACAGGAGAAAGAAAGGCAGAAAGCCTAAAGCTGGCGAGACATTTTCATTCGGCAAAACGCACTCGTGAGCCTCGCTAGTCTGTGCGGAGACAGCGCCAGCGCTTCCCGCAGCAGCGGCGCACAGAAACCGAGAGCCGGACTCCCGGATGCCCCGCACCGGTGGGCCCTGGTGCCCCGCCGCCAGCCCCTGCACCGGCCTACGAGGAGCCAGCGCCGCCCGCAGGCTCGGGACAGAGGCCGGCCGCAGCGGGCTCCTGGCAGCCGCTTCCCCCGTCACTGCGCCCCGCACGCAGGCTCTGGCGGGGCCGCCCCGGCCTGCTCGTCTCGGACGACGCAGTGTCGCCGCCAGCTCCACGGGCCCGGCCCGGGCACCGGGGATACGCTCCGAGGAGAGGGAGACTCCGGCGACCGCGTTACCTGCTCGGTATCCGGGTCCCGCTCTCTGCTCCGGGGGTCTCGCTTTAGTTCCTCCCTGTCCGCCGCAGCGTGCGCCTGGCCTCCACCGCACTGCGCAGCCGCGAACCCGCCCCTTCTCACCTCACACAGCGCGTGAGACCTGTCGTGCTCGCGCGAGATTCCATACTCCTCATCATAGAGTCTCCGCGACCGCCGGGCGAGATAGAGGGACCCTGGAGGACCCATCATAGAGTGCGAGGTCTTCGGGAAGCACAGGCCGGCTCAGGAACTTACAAACCCGGTGGAGTGCGGGGGGTTCTGAAAGGGACGCACGCGTGCAGGAACTTGCAGAAACCATAGAGTCGAGGACCTCCTGGCGGTACAAACCGGCCTAGGAACAAGTCATGCATTTTCCTTTCTGTCACACGGTGGCGCTGCAGCGAGTGATGGTCACGTGACTACCACTGCCCGACAGCCGCGCGTTGTTTTGCCCGTATTGCGTCAATGCGCGACATATGCAACGGAGACGGAAAGGCCCAACATCCGGGTCTTAGTTCCGCCATGTTCTTTGCGCCCGGCGTCTCTGCGCTGGGGGTGGAGCCAGCGGCGGGAAGCGGAAGGGGAAGGAAGCGGAGTCGGTCCTCCCTTGATTACCGGTCGTGCTGTCACACGTGACTGAGCCGGGTGGCAGTGGAGGCAGCAGCGGGTCGCGAGCGCCCTTCGCCGCGGTCAGGATGTCCGGCAAGGACCGGATCGAGATTTTCCCCTCCCGGATGTGAGTGACTCGCCCGGGCGCCGGCATCTGCCGGGGCCCCTCCCTGGCCGGAGCCGGGCTCCCCTCCTGGGCCCCGGGGGCTCTGGCGCGGCGGCCCGGGCAGAGGCGGCTCCGGGGCTAGCGCAGTGACCGGGGAGCGGGCGGGCGGCGTCACGGTGGTATCTAGGGGCCAGTCAGGGAGCAGCAGGACCTCCCTGCTCGGAGCCGCGCAGCAGACGGGAGCCGGGGGGAGCCCGCCCGCTTCGCCCAGTGGCCCTGCCCGTCGCTGCTTTGCCGATGGGATGCCGGGGTGTGGGAGCCACGTCGGCCCCGGCGAGTCGCTGTTCCCGGACCCCTACCCCAGCCCGCCCATCACGCTCCCCCGGGGAACGGCCCAGGCTCTGAAACCAGGGTTGGGGGTTCTACAAATTTCGGGTTTTGCTGTTTAGGTGCAGGGGCTGCAACGCGCTGCGTGTGACTCGTCCCAGCTTTGTCACTGTCCTGTTCCAAGGTCGGAAGAGACCGTTGTGATCATCTGCCCTGACCTTCTGTGTAACCCGGGCCCAGGACTTCCCTGTGTCAATTCCTGTTTGAACTAGAGCGTGTCTTTTAGAATAACAGCCGTGTTAGTCTGTATTCGCAAAAAGAAAAGGAGTACTTGTGGCACCTTAGAGACTAACCAATTTATTTGAGCACGAGCTTTCATGAGCTCACCTCATCGGATGCATACTGTGGAAACTGCAGAAGACATTATATACAGAGAGACCATGAAACAATACCTCCTCCCACCCCACTCTCCTGCTGGTAATAGCTTATCTAAAGTGATCATCAAGTTGAGCCATTTCCAGCACAAATCCAGGTTTTCTCACCCCCCCCCCCCCAAACTCACTCTCCTGCTGGTAATAGCCCATCCAAAGAGTAGTCACTTTGGATGGGCTATTACCAGCAGGAGAGTGAGTTGGGGGGGGGGGGGCAGAGGGTGAGAGCCTGGATTTGTGCTGGAAGTGGCTCAACTTGATGATCACTTTAGATAAGCTATTACCAGCAGGACAGTGGGGTGGGAGGAGGTATTGTTTCATGGTCTCTCTGTATATAATGTCTTCTGCAGTTTCCACAGTATGCATCCGATGAAGTGAGCTGTAGCTCACGAAAGCTCATGCTCAAATAAATTGGTTAGTCTCTAAGGTGCCACAAGTACTCCTTTTCTTTTTGTCTCTTAGAAAAACATCTAGTCTTGATTACATCTGACTTGGGTCATACAGGGCAGCTGGAAGCTGGGGTCGCTGTATATATTAGGAAAAGCGTATAGCGAGGAAGGGGTTTGACAACCATGACATCCTGTAACATTTGACTTGGTTGGTGAGCTACTTACCCCACATTGAGTAAAACCTCAGCCTTGCTGAGGTATGTCTGAACAACTGTAAGGGATTGATTTCCTGCAGACATTGCAACTCACAAATACCTGTGCTAAGGGTTTTTAACTGAGATCCTGCCTACTCCTGTGGATGTCAAATTCAGCTAATTTGTGCCAGAACCTCCAAGCATCTAACATGTTCCTGTAGTTCTCAGTCCAATACTGAAACCTCTCATTCTTAGCAGTTCTATTAAGTCTGCTCCATGTCAGTAGCACTCCCTCCAGATATCTTCAATGCATTTGCAATGTTTTTAATGAATCCATTCAACTGAGTATCTCTGAGGAACTTACAAGCGAATTGGACTCTGTCTTGTACTGCTACATTAGTCTCCTACAAAACTCCGTCATTAAGGCCAATATTATAACTGGGTTAAAAATGGTCCAGGGTGCAACCCCAATGCATGGGTTGTCCTTGAGCCTCTGGGTGCCAGAAGCTAGGACTGGATGCAGGATGGATCACTTGATGATTGCCCAGTTCTGTTCATTCTTTCTGAAGCATCTGGCGCTAGTCACTATCAGCATCCAGGATACTGGACTAGATGGACCATGGGTCTGACCCAGTATGGTGATTCTTATGATTTAAAAATTGCCAGTGATGGAGAATCTTATATTCTCTTTATGAAAACTGTTTCAGGAGATGATCATATGGCCAGTGCAGATGACTGTAGTTCCCTTGCTCTTGCAGGGGCAGTTTGCAATGTCATAATTCACTTAACTTCCCTTTGTCGCCTTATAACCAGAGATCCAAGTAGCTTACTTTTTTGTAGTGTTTTTATTGAGCAGTACAAATTCCACTGAATGCAACGAACATAAATAAAGGGGATCCTCAGAACCAGCAGTTTTCTGGGTGTGTAAAGCTTGGGCCACATTAAGATATTTTCCATTGTATTCCCTTTTTTTATGGCAATCCCTTTTAAAATATCAAAAAAATCTTTAAATTTAAAGAAAAACATAATATACTGGGTTGCTCTGCACACATTTTTCTGTTAAACACACAACAAAAAATACAGACTTCATAAACAGAGGTCACATTTTAAGCTTCCTGATTTTGCCCATGCTCTATTTGTATTTGTGGCCTTGGGGGAGAATGAGCATGAAGACTGAGCTGTGAAACTAGATCAGTTCTTCCTGGAGAAACCATCTCAGGATTGAGTCTGGTAATGAGGCAATCAAGACACCTCAGAAATTCAGTGACCATACAACTGGAGATTGAGGCCAGGTCTATGCTAGGAGTGTTTTGCCTGGCATAGGCAAAATAAGCTATTCCGGACAAAAGTATAGTTTTTCCAGTATAACTGTATTTACACTAAGGACTCTTGCCTGCACAGCTGTGTGTCACAAATCACAGCTTATCAGAGACTAGTGTAGAGCCGGCTTAAGCTTTTATACATAAAACTGATAAAGAATGGGACGTGGGACAGGAGAAGAATGTATTGGTTTTTGCTTTTACTTGAAAGAGAATAGCTGTATGGAAGCTGGAACATGAGACCTGTGTTGGGAGGCAAACTCTATGCTTGGTGTCAAGGAAAACCATGTATGAAGGCAGAACTTGACATTTACAGTCTTTGATATATAGCTGAGAATGGGGACATTCACTGAAATGCACTTTTCCTTTAATTTCAGATAGAAATTATTAACTTCCCAGATATTGTAACTACTTCAAGTGGAATATGTAGGGTTCACAGCTAATTGTGTTGACAAAGGAAGTCAACTAAATGGAGTATAATCCCGATTCTCGGTAATTTTCCAGGTGCTGATTTGTCATGTAGTCAGATGTCTTTGACAAAGCATGGAATATGGCCATCATTACAGCAGAACACAAGACACTTGAAAGTTTGAGTTATGAAACTGCAGTCTTGTAATGTTTCTACTCAAAAACTGTTCAGATTTCCAGGGTAGGAGCAACCAAACTTGACCATGAGCAGGAGAGGGTCATTCTTAGTCTTGTATAAAATTGTGCTGACGGCTGCTGCTGTCAGCTTTAATACGTAGGTGGGTCCCGGCACATTATACCTCCACTTGATCTAAGTGGTCAGTTTGCAGTCTCTGCCTACAGCTCCTTGTTGAGAATAGCTGTGTGGTATATGTGGTCCTGAAAGGTTCATTGACTGTTTGACTAGATAACTCCATTTTCGATCGCTTGTCGCTTCTGAAGCACAGATCACTAAACATTCTGCAAATGTGGATTCAGGGACTCCCCAAGTTTAGAATTGGTGTGTATCTTCAACATATTTCCAGAAGAATACGACCAATTCTGAACGAAGGATATTTTGATAAAATTTGTTTTTTCTTTTGAAATTCCATTAGTCATAGTAAAACATGACTAATTCCTAGGGGCCAGAGAGCAGAACGCAAGATCTTTCCATGTAGTGTTCTGAGTACAAATCGCTTTGGGAAGAAGGGTTAAGCTATGGGAAGGCATTTGAGAGTCTAGAGTTCTGGATTCCGTTCTTGACTCTGCTGCGTGAACTTAACTCCTCTGATTCAGTTTACCCTTATGTAAAACAGGGATAACATTTATCTACCCCACAGTAGAATTGTCTTTTAAAAAGCACTTTTGAGATCCTTAATCAAATTAGTGTGCAATGTTAATGTACAGCAACCGAGGCATAACTGACTTATTAAAATTTTGAATAATAGCTGTTGTATTCCAGATCTTCTTAAGATTAAAAAATGCATCCCATGTAGAAAGATTATTACACTTACAAAGCAGAGCTTGAATTCATAGCTTCATTCGTTCAAGCTTCATTCATAGAAATGCAGAATCATAGATGCTGGACACAACCTAATAGATTATCTTTATCTGCCTTGTCTGGTTACTGCTACTGAATTGTCCTCTTCACTTTGTTCACTACTGCTCTTGTTCAGTTAAATTTTAAATGTTCCAAGTGATGGATCTTCCATGACTTTTGCAGGGAGCCTATTATGTAGGTGTATTTTTTTTTTCACTGTTCATTTTTGTAGTCTTCACAGTTGTCTAGAATATTTCATCCAGAGAATTATGCCTAAGTTTGAGAGCACTCTTTCTCTAAAAATGATGAGAGGTGACTTGACTTAGGGTCTCAGCAGAGAAGTAAACTCATAGCAAGTTCTGTTAATAATCTGTCTGTCTTTCCCCTCAATTGAACAGAATTTCTTACTCCATCTTGTTGTTAGTAAAGTTTCTTATTGGCATAAATCTTTTCTACTTCAAAGCTGCTTGGTGAAGTCTTTTTGTTCTAGCTGTTCTGGCTTGATGGTAAATAGGACTGTGTTTAATGCACACATGGAGTCTGTTAAATCTTGCTTGGACTAGAAAATGAGCCAGCCTTTGATAGTTAGATCTTGGAAAAAGCCAGCTGGTGCATGGCTGTGAAATCGCTGAACCTGTTTGAAATTCCAGGCAGTGATTTCTTCTAAAAAGGAGGCTTCATTTTTATTCCCTGAAAGACAATCTACTGTGAACATTCAGAAGTTTCAGTGCGAATTGAGTTCTTGGCTGTTTAGGAATTTATATGGCCTGTGTTGCTGTGGTATCTCAGTGTTTCAGACACATGAAAGAATGTATTGCCTCAACATGCCTGTGAGGTAGAAAAGTGTTGTTTGTTATTTTATAGATGTAGAACTGAGGTAAATGGAAATTAAGGCCATGTCTACACTACCACTATGGTCGGCAAAACTTGTGTCGCTCGGGGGTGTGAAAAAACACCCTCTGAGCAACATAAGTTTTGCTGGCATAAGGGGTAGTGGACACAGCACTATGTTGGCGGGAGAACTACTCCCACCAACATAGCTACTGCCGCTTGTTGGGGTTGGTTTAATTATGTCGACGGGTGAGTTCTCTCCCGTCAGCACAGAGCCGCTACACAAGCGATCTTACAGCAGTGCAACTGTAAGGTCTCTAGTGTAGACATGGCCTAAGTGTTTTTCCAAGGTCACACAGGAAGTCTCTGGGCTTGCCTTCACTGCAAACTTAACTCAAGTTGTAACGCAAGTGTTAACTCTAGCATGTATGCTATGCACTCTCTCTCTGTATCTAGACTAGATCAGAGGTTCTCAGGACAAATTTTTGGTGGCCTCAGAGTGTGGCCACCAACTCTTGCTGGTGGCCACTCTTGCTTTTTTCTAAAATGCTTAATTGGCTTTAGGAAAAACAAATAAATATGCACATATACAGGTCCGAATCATTGTAATTTATTTATTGCTAGCTAGTAAGTCTGCTGTGAACAGTGATACTTGCAGGGTTGTTAATATCACTGTTCACAGCAAACTTACTAGTTAGCAGTAAACAAACCTGCAGGTATCACTGTTCACAGCAGACTTACCCAGCCCCAGCAAGCCTGGGGACAAATTAAACCCTGGATGGGGGGTCGGGGTAGGCAGCAGGGGCCAGGGGTGATGGAATTGGGGCAGGGGGAGAAGCTCTGTAGCTGGGGACAGAGCCCGAAGCTGCATGGCCTGGGGCCCACTGCCCTGCAACCGGAGCCTGAAGCCCTGCAGCCAGAGCCTGATGCCCTGCTACCCCAGGGTTGAAGACCAAATCCTGAGCCCCACCGCCTCTGGGAAGGTAGGGAACTCACCATTTGCTTGCTCCTCCAGTGTTGTGTCCAGCTGTCCCCAGCCCCTGCTTGCAGCCCCAACAGCCAACATCAAGGTGGTGCATCCAGGAACAATGGGGAAGGGGAGCGGCTGCTGCTTTGTTTCCTCCCTCCCACAAAAGCCCCTGGTGGCCGCATTTGAGAAATGCTGGGCTATGCTATAGCCAAGTTAGCAGAACTCATTAGCTGCTAACGCAACCGTTCTGAGTAACTCAGGCTTTTCACAGTGTGGCCCCTCTTGCTTCAGCAAGGCTAACTCAAGAGGTGCAAACTCTCCAGTGAAGACACAGCTTATGGCAGTGATGGAAATGGAACCTGTGACCTTGGTTTCAGTTCTCAAATCTTCCTCAGGACTGAGTTTAATACTCAGTCCGGACCATTCAGAGGGTAGTACTTGCAAATTAGGATCACTTCCACCTGTCTCCACTGACTTGGAAATCTCCTACAGGATTTCTGAGGGTAGGGAATAACTCCAGTTTCTGGACAGTGTTTGCTCTTTTCCAAAGGAGAGTGTGAGCTGCTGCTGAAAGTCTGGCTGCTGTTTTGTCTTGCCTGTTGCGGTCTTTAAAAAAAAAAAAGACTTGACTCTTTAGAAAAGCCAACTCTTGTTGGTTTCAATAGACAGACTAAAGTCTCATGAAGAATTGGTTGCCTTTATGGTATTTGAGAAGTGTCAAAAATAAGAATATTAGAAAGTAGAACAAATGTCCTCAGGATGACAATGGGCTAGTTTTGGTTCCTATTGAATGGCTCTAGAGAAGTTGCATTCCAAAGAATTTTGATTGTGTATTGTGTGGCTTTCTATAATGGAATGGCTGAGCAATGATTTGAAATACAGTGCCCGTATGTAGCACTTGTCAGCCTGTTGAGATCTTCAGCTTTACAAACACTAACCCACCTTTTGAGATGGGTAAGTAGAATTCCCATTTTTACAAATGAGCCACATCAAGTGGTTGCTCGTGGTCAAGGAGACCAAGACGACTAACATGTCTTCAGATGCTTCCTAATGTCTGTCATTTTCCATGTCAGGAATTATTTTGCTTTCTCCTGATCCTTCTGAGTGATAGAAAAAAAAACATCTATATCTCTTTCCCTGCTTAATAGGGCTCAGACCATCATGAAGGCTCGTTTGAAAGGGGCCCAGACAGGTCGCAACCTCTTAAAGAAGAAATCTGATGCTCTGACTCTTCGATTCCGACAGATACTAAAGAAAATCATTGAGGTAGGTGAATTCAGTTTCTACCATGTCTGCCTTGCTCTGTTAGGAAATTATCTGTGTTCTGTAAACCATGCATTTCCATAGTGCTTCCATTGATATCACTTTCACATAGGTTAGAATTTGGTGCAATTTTGCAGGTAAGCTGCAGTTCTGGTAAATAACACTGAAGTGATTTTAGTTTTTCTATCTGAAGAAGCTGCGCAAGAGGCCTAAGACTCTGTTTAGGAATTTAAACCCCTCTTCTTCCTTCTCCAATCAGCCATAAATCCTGCTTCCTTCTGTACCCAGAGCTGCCTACAGGCTTTCCTGAATTTTAGAAAACTGGCCAGTCCTGGTGGTGGTTAACCTGCTTCCTTCACTCTCTGGCTTGGGGAGGATGCTGTGGACCATCAGTGTCAGCTGCATGATTAGAAGCAGCAAACTCTATCCAGCTTGATCTTATCCCTTTTTCTGTAAAGGTACGGTGTTAATATGGGTTTGTGTGCACTAGGCAGCAGTAGCAGCAAACCCAAGATTTAACCATGGTCAGGTGAAATGATGCTGAACATGAATTAGGTTTGTCTACTCTTATAACTGAACTGTGTTTAGCATTGCATTAGTTACAATTGCTGCTGACATCCATGGTTAGCAATGTTTCCATTGCATGGTGTAGATAAGGCCTCAGAAGTGTTGTATCTGTTTTCCTGCAGACTCAGTAAGGCAGCAGTGCACTGGCTTATACTCAAATTTTTGGCTTCAATATTTTTTTTTTAACTGTATGGGCTAGAAATGCTTAAATCTTATCTGTGCTGAGAAGACTTGGAAAAAACAGATTTCCCAGTAGTTCAGCTAAATCACTGTAAGAAGCTGTTGGAGCCCTCTTGTGCTGTGCCCGTTTTTACTACCATGTTAAATCCTGGGATTCTCAGTTCACAATAATATGGTGGCCTATCAGGGGCATGCCATAAGCAGTCTTACATTGTGTATCCATCCTAAAGATATAAAAAGTCACCTTTACATTTTAGTTTTTTGTGCTGCCTCCTTGGTGGGTGTGACCCACTGTTGGGAAACCTCAGGACACAGAATTCTTTGGTCTTTGACTAGGTACAGCAAACAGCTGTCAACGATTAATGTCACATCCTGAGGTGACTGCTTTTCAGCTCTAGGTTGAGTTATTTTTGTTAAGTTTTAAAATTGCATCTCTGTTCTCTTTATAGACTAAGATGTTAATGGGTGAGGTGATGAGAGAAGCTGCATTCTCACTTGCTGAGGCAAAATTCACGGCTGGAGACTTCAGGTGAGTATCACTGATTTGTACTGTACTGCTATCTGGAGAATCCCCAGCTTTCCTTTCCCAGGAAGAGAGGACAACCAGCAGGCTGTTGGTTCCACTCTTAGGAGAAAAATGGAAGAAAGGAAAGTTCTGTAGTAGATGCTGGGAAAGGGAAAGGCAGCCTCATGATAAATTGGGTACCATCAGTCAAGGGTGGGAGAAGAAGGTGGGTAAAGGAGAGAAACAGTTTGTGTTGAGGAAATATTCATCACTTTGGAAGTCAAACAAGCACATCAGCTGGTAGAAGCAGCTTTCAACTAAGTGTAAATGTAAACCCCTCAGGTGAGCCAGTGGTTGCTTCTGCAGCTTGGACTTTAAAGTGTAGGGAAATGGGAAAGTGTAACAGAAAGCTGGTCTAGTTTTCCCTTTTACTCTGTATTGCTGAGTTGTAGAGGCAGATTCTCCTCTTCCATGGTTTCATCACCTTTTCTCAGTAACTCCCAGGGAGAACTACTATGCTGATGACTGTCTAGGGCAGTGGTCTCCAACCTTTTTATGCCCAAAATCACTTTTTGAATTTAAGGGCAATCCAGGATCTGTCCCATTCACTCCATCCCCTCACCCTCCAACTGTCAGGGTGGTTAAGCACTGGAATTAATTGTCTAGGGAGGTTGTGGAATCTATCATTGGAGATTTTTAAGATCAGGTTAGACAAACGCCTCTCAGGAATGGTCTAGATAATACTTATCCTGCCATGAGTGCAGAGGACTGGACTACATGACCTCTCAAAGTCCCGTCCAGTCCTATGATTCTATGCACAGTCACACAAAATCCAACTTAATGCTGGAACCTTGGCCCAGATTTCAGGTTTTTTGGGTTCTTGTGTAAATTAGAGCCATAATATTACTAGAATATTTTTGTGTGGTTTTCTGCCAGATAAATAACTCCTTTTCAGGCATAGATTTGAGGTTGGAAAGAGCCTTGATGGGCCAGGTGTGCAATGTGCGTTCTAGATACTCAGTTTCTTTAGATTTACTAACAGATGCAGTCTCCTCACTTAGTTTCATAGCTCTTTTGTGTTAGCTTTTGATTTCTATGTAAAAGCTTTCTTCATTGAACTGCTAGTGTGGGTGAGCTAATCTTCAGAAAACTCAGTGCCAGAGCTGGAGACTTGTTCCATGAATCCTCGAAGCAGTTTGACTGCTGGTTAACCATTGCACACAACTGATGAATTCATGACTTGATTTTACCCATTTAAGGTGCATTTTCTTCTCTTCAGTACCACTGTGATCCAGAATGTGAACAAAGCTCAAGTCAAGATCAGAGCTAAGAAAGACAACGTAGCAGGTGACTATCTCCCCACCTTTGCGAAGTACAAGTATGTCACAGGCCCATTTATGTTTCCTGGAAAACACACAGCTGGTTTGTAAACAGAATGTATGTCTCCTCTTCTGCATTTCTCTTCTCCCCTCCTCCTTTTATTACTAGGGACACTTGCATATGAAAATAAGAACTTTGTGGACTACAGATTCATTTGGTCTCCATAATTGTTACAATAAGAAATTTTGCAGTCAGGGAAACGGGAGGATGGCCTCGGATTAAGTCATTTAGTCCACTTTTGCAGGTGCCAGGTATGGTTTTCCACTGCAGCCTATTCTTCAGAGCTTTGTCGAGTCCAGTTTTAATGTCCCGAGCAGTGGGGCTTCCACTGCTTCCCTCAGGCCAGCTACACCATGTTCTAGTAGATATCTCCTGTGTGGAAGTTTTTTAGTATATGCAGCTCTAACTTTTGTTTGATTTCATCCCGTTATTCCTAGTTATACAACCTAGATAACACTGAACAGTTCCTTTCAAATACTTGTGCAAATATATTCCCCTCAGACATCACTTAACCCAGCTACACATATTACATAGGATCTTTTGACGTTTCCTCAGATCATTTTCTCAAACCACTTAATTTTTGTTCCTCTTCTCTATGCTTCCTTTAACTTATGAACATATTTTTAGTATCTCATCAGCTGTATGAAGGACTTATCACCAGCTTGTTTTGTAACGTGCTTCTGTACACAACCCTTAAAATGTCATTGGCTGTTTTTGCTGCTGTATTCCATTACGAACATAAGAATGGCCATACTGGGTCAGATGTCGCCCAATATCCTGGGTTTTGACAGGGGCCAGTACAGATGGGGAATGAACAAAACAGGGTAATTTCAAGTGATCCGTTCCCTGTCATCCAATCCCAACTTCTGGCATTTGGAGGTTGAGGGACGCCCAGAGGATGGGGTTATGTCCCTTACTATCTTAGCCATTGGTAGACCTATTAGCCATCTTCCATGAACTTATCTAATTCTTTTTGAACCAGAATATTAGTTTTGGCCTTCACAACATCCCATGCAATGAGTTCCATGGGTTAACTGTGCACTATGTGAAGAAATACTTTTTTGTTTTTTAAACCTGCTCCCTATTAATTTCATTGGGGGACCCCAGTTCTTGTGTTAGGCGAAGGAGTAAACACCACTTTCCTATTCACAAACTTGTATTTTATCCCTCCTAAATCTCTTTAAGCATCATTGCTTCCATATGTCTCGGAACATCTTCAGTTATGCTGTGTGTGCATGTGCACCACTTCACAGCAACCAGCTGCACCCCAACTGCAGGATTCTGCCTTCAGAAAGGGAAGAAGGATCTATAAATCCAGTCCCTCATCTTGCCTAAATGAAGTGAGAGTACATAAATTGCTGTCTGGTCAACTTTTGACAATCAGACAATGCATAACTATTGGGGTGGGGTGTGTGTATGTCCTGGACTCTAAAGATACCTGATTATGCCAGAAAATTCCATGCAAAGTGCTAACACAATACATTAACTGAAAAATTGCCACTCAGAGTCAGGAAACATTATAAAGTTGAATGCTCAGCGCATACCTTAAAACATGGCTCACTTGTTATCAACAAAATAACCAAATACTATCAAACTGAGTCTACGTACCTGAATTTCTAATGCAATTTCTGGGACTTGTGTTTTTAAGACACATTCTACAGTGATGTGCTATGGACACTGCTTATCATAATCTCAGTGTTGTGTTCACCCATTGTTTAATTTGTACTTCTTGTCAGCTCTTTAGGTCAGAAATCATTTTATGTTTGTGTGGTGCCTAGCACAATGGATTGTCTGGGACCTCTGGAGGCTACTGTGAGACAAATAAAGCATATTACAACCCCAAATTCTTAAATTTAAATGCTTGTCTTTAGAACTACTAGACTGATTTTCTTTAAACATAGCTATATGTTTGGGTCTCAATGAGATCTAAAAACAAGTTTGCAATTTCTATTTTTGGTTATTTGCGTTCTCTTTGCTTACAATTTCTGACTGGAAGATAAAGAAGAAAATCATGGTTTTGAATATGCAAGTGTCTAAGCCAAGTTGGTTCAAACTTAAAAAAAAAATTGACTTCTAGCTGAGGGAGCATGGAGACCTTCAGCTCCCAAAGAATTTAATGTTGGGAGCAATTATGGGAGAAGGAAGAGACTAGAATTGAAGTTGAACTAACATTAGCTACAGCGTGTTCTGCCTTTGTAAAAAATACTGTAGTCTGAGTACCAAATAAAACATTCAGTGATTCTTACACACACTCTTGTGTGTCTTTAACAGGTGTAACTTTACCAGTGTTTGAGCATTACCAAGAAGGAGGGGACAGTAAGTACAAAATGAATGTTTTATGTCTTCAAGTGCTTGCGAAAAATACTTGGGTGTCCTGGAAACCCTTTATCATTGAAACCCTGACAACACAGGAACTGGTAATGCAAGCTTTCTCCATGTTGCTCTGTCAACGCTGACCGGCAGGGGGTTGCCTTTGGGGCCAGAGGGGAGTGTAGCTTTGGTCTGTATGCTGAAATTGCTAATAAGAGGTCACTCCCGAGGTGCAGACACCTGTCTGCAAGCAACTAAGTGGGATTAGCAGACTTCATAGACCACTGAACAATCATCCAACAGTAGTGATGGTCAGTAACTACTACTGTTTTCAATATTAGAACTGCTCACTGAGAGGTGAAGGATTCAGCATTCCATTAGCAGTCCCATAAGCGTCTCTGTACTTGTGCTCTGGCAATTTTGTTGAGAGGCTTCATTCTTGCTAATACCACTACCGTTTGATGGGTTATTTCAGGTTATGAGTTGACTGGCTTAGCTAGAGGTGGAGAGCAGCTGGCAAAATTGAAGAGGAACTATGCCAAAGCAGTGGAGCTGCTTGTAGAATTGGCCTCGCTCCAGGTAGGTGGGAGCAGAAGACGAGCTAAAGGGGTTCAGGTTTCTCTGTTGTTCGATGGACAATCTTGGTGGCTAAGGATGTAGTAACCCCTTGATCTCTGAGCATTGTGTGTGGAGATCGAAGGGCTGCAGTGTTCCCACAATACTGCAGTTCTTTTTCAGTTTGTCTTCTCTCATCAGAGTCTTGAGCTTCTTTCTTTTTTCTACCCTACCTCTCCCACACCTACAACTGTTGCTGGCAGGCATAGACACTGCATGTTAATTGCTCCTCTGGATCCTCTTGGTCCTCCGCAGCCTCTCCTCCTGAAAATGTGTGAGAAAGAGACTGAATGGCTGCTTTAGCTACTCACAAGTATAGCTCTGCAGGGCCTTTCGTGGCCAGTTTTCTTACTGTTATTTTGAACTCTTAAGATGCCTGGCTAGTAAACGCCCCCCCTTTGGGTTACTGGCATATGTAACAGTAGGTTAGTTACAGCAAGTATTTAGTCACAGCATACAAACCTGATGTCCATGAGAATGTACCTGTTTGCACAAGCGCAGGGCGGAATTTAGCCTTTAAAGCAAGCATACTTGGCTCCCTGAAGCCATCTATGCTTGTTGGATGGTAAAAATACTGTGTCTCATTTGGTTTTGTATTATTTAATCTCACTGTCATAGACTTCGTTTGTTACACTGGATGAAGCCATTAAGATAACAAACCGGCGTGTGAATGCTATTGAACATGGTGAGTGAGTTGGAGCTTTCCCCCTTTAAGACACTTAACTGATTTTTGAGCTTCCTTAGGAGATGAAGAGCAGCATAGAGTCCTGGCAACTGTCACTCTTCATTGGTCTGCTTTGCTGTTAAGGGGATTTCTGTCCTAATCAGGAGTTGCTATAACAATATTACGTAGGTGGAGAATAAACCAGGAACTATATTGTAAATAAAAATGCCAATGTGCATTAGACACAGGTTGCAAGTCTTGCAAGGACTAGATGAAAGGGAGCTGTACTGTGGTCCATAGAGCATTTGCTGATGCTCTATGGATACCTGTCTAGCCACACAATGCCAACTCTCCCCTTTGTTTTCAGACGTTATCTTGCACTGAGATCTACTAATATTACCTTTGTCATTTTCCCATGTAAGTGATTGCTTTTGTTGTCATAGGGATGTTAAGAGATTTTGAATGGGGTGGGGATGGGAGGTGGTCAGTCGTAGATCCTAGTGAGATCCCTTTTGTGGCCCCAACGGAGACCTCAGTGGGTGGAATCCAAGCATCTGGACCCTGAATGGATCCTGGGGTCCCTGGGTGCAATCTTCTGTTTAGCATCACCCTTCTGAGTCTTGGAATCTGCTCTCTGGCCACCTTGCCCTGCTGGGCACAGCGCTGACTCCCCAGTACTCAAACCCCCTCCCCCCCACCACCCAGAACTCCACTCAACAGGTGCAAAGCTTCTGGTTTACAATATAACTCTCTCTAGGGTACACCATAGTTGTGAAGCAGTCAACACTCTCTCACTTTGTTCAGTCTGCCAACTTTATGCTCTTTATATTTAATCCATGTAAAGCACAGGAGAGTACAGATTACATAAAACAATAAAACCTCCTTAAAGTTAATGTCCTCATTTGCTCACCCTTCCCTTGGGAGATTATCTGTGTTGTATCTGTCAGCAGGCAGGGTCTTTCACCCCCTTGCCTACCCTGTGCCCCTATAGCCCCTTAAGTAACTCTGGTGCAAAATGGCTCTCTCCCCCATTCCCCTCTGATATATCATTCAGACTCCTGCTGGGATCACCTGTTTCCTTTGTTCTGCCTATTAGTGATTTTCTATTACTACCAACTTCTTTTCAAACAAGAAGGGTCCTTGCCTGGTCCTCATTGTTGAGATACTGTGCTCTGCATAGCTCAAGTAGTTAATTTTTCATCAGCTGTTCAAAATTCATTTCCCCTGTCTCTCTTCACTATTCCTTTCCTGAAAAATCTGAGGCTTTTCCCTTTACTGTTGTGGCACTTATAGCAACTCTCACTGTCATAGATCCCACACACATTGTCACCAGATATGTCACAATCAGCACAATTGTCTCATGGAAGTTTTCCCTCCCATTACCAATTACTTTCTTAACTGGGGCTGCAGAACCCTGCCTTGTTGAGCCAGACATGCTAGTCTGCTCCAACACAGACTCAGGGTCTGAACCATGTGCCCCAAAGCTGCAGACTTAGCTGCAGACTTAACTGAAAACAGCTTAAGAAGTGCTCCTGTCTCTAGCACCCAGCTCCCAATGGGATCCAAACCCCATTTTACTCTGTAAAAAGCTTATACAGAGTAAACTCAAATTGTCCACCCTCTATAACACTGATAAAGAGATATGCACAGTTGTTTGCTCCCCCAGGTATTAATTACTTACTCTGGGTAAATTAATAAGCAAAAGTGATTTTATTAAATATAAAAAGGATTTAAGTGGTTCAGAGTAATAACAGACAGAACAAAGTAAGTTACCAAATAAAATAAAACAAAACACACAAGTCTAAGCTTAATACATTTAAGAAACTAAGTACAGGTAAATCTCACCCTCAGAGATGTTCCAATATGCTTCTTTCAGGGACTAGACTCCTTTCTAGTCTGGGTCCAATCCTTTCCCCGGTACAGTCCTTGTTCCAGCTCAGGTGGTAGCTAGGAGATTTCTCAGGACTGCAGCCCCCTTTGTTCTGTTCCACCCCCTTTTATAGCTTTGGCACAAGGCAGGAATCTTTTGTCTGTCTGGGTCCCCACCCCTCCTTCTACATGGAAAAGCACCAGGTTTGAGATGGATTCTAGTACCAGGTGACATGGTCACGTGTCCTGTGAGATCCCAAGCCTTCATTCTTCCTGGTCTGACTCACAGGAAGGCTTAAGAGTAAACAGAGCCATTGTCATAGTTGGTGGGAGCCATCAAGATTCCAAACCACCATTAATGGCCCACACTTTGCATAATTACAGTAGGACCTCAGAGTTCTATTTCATACGTCTAGTTTCAGATACAAGAATGATACATTCATACAACTAGGATGACCACACTCAGTAGATAAGATTTGTAATGATACCTTACAAAAGACCTTTTGGATGAAGCATATTCCACTTATATTATATTCAACACATTAGCATATTTTCATAAAATTATATGGAGTGCAACATCACACAGGGCTCTAGAAACACTTATGGTAGATTGTGCTTCTCCTAGGAAAGCATGTCTTCAAACACAATTTCATATCCTCCATGCCAATGCTTAACTCCTATCTCTCATTTGCCTTTGGTGTCATCTCTGGGCCTGAACTCCTCGTCCCTCCTGTTCCTGATGGTGGAATCTGTCTTTTGCCACTCTGCTGTGTTGCTTGTGTACAACCCTGCTGCAGGTCCCTCTACTAAGCCATCCAGTTTTAACCGCCTGCCACTTAGATTATTTCAAGGGCCTCCTCAAGACCCAGCTCTCCAGATTTCTTTTGCCTTTTCATATATACAAAGAAGCATGACATTGAACTCCATCTTCAACTCCTTTGCACTGCTTACTTCAGGATTCAAGTCTAAATTGTCCCCCTTGTTAAGCAATGCAGCTTTCCATGGACTTGCTCCATCAAACTTACAGGTCTTCTCTTGTCTTCCCCTCACTGCTCACACACTTCACTCATTTAGCAGTGACCTCCACCCTGGTCTTCCAAACAAGCTTGACACTGTTTGTGAGAGAGCCTTCTCCTTTGCAGATCCTATTGTTGGCAGTAGTCTTTCAGAATTGACTAGCTCTCATGTCAAAGCTGTGCTGAAAATGTCATCTCCTGCTCTTGTCCTTATGACTGAATTTAATTTGCCATACTGACATGCCATACATACCATGCTGCTGCACCACATGCTGTCTGACATCATGGTCTCCGTTGGCATACAATTTGTATGACAGATATTGCACAACACTTAAATTTATAGCACCCTTTATCCAGAAAGGAGCCCAAAGCATTTTATAAATTAGGGATCTTATCATGCACAACTTAAACATGGCACTGCAAAGTTTAACTTTGCACAGCAGTGCTGTGCAACCATTCAGGATAGGAAGTAGTGGGTAAAAAAGTCACACCCAACAAACTGCTGAAAGAACCAGTGGTAGAAGAACAGAGGCAGAAGAATGCAGTTTCTGAAATAGAAATTTGGCCAATACACTGTGGTTAAGACTTTAATTGTTATGGAAATGGCCTGGGACCTTGACCTTCAAGAGTTCAGGATGTTAGTGGTCAAAGATCTTGTTACACCTTATCCAAGAGAGCACCTATTTCAGCACAGTACTGCACTCCCTGGGATATTGGTTCCGTACCTACAGAATAGGGTTTGCCTTGCAGGCCTCCCATGTCAGGCCTCGCCCTTTTCAGCCTCATCTGAGGAGATCACCATGTAAGATTATATGGATGCAGAAAGAAAGCAAATCATTCAGTCTCATTATTGTAGGACAAGGACCTGAAGCTGTGGAATGAAAAGTTTTAAGTTGGACATGGGGGGAAAAAAAAGATTGTCTACAGAAAAATAAACTTACTGATTTCACTACTTAGTTCTCCCCATTCAACCTCCATTGGAAGCCAGTGCAAGCTGGCTCCATTGAATTATTGGCGCAGGTTATGAAATGCTGAGCCCTGTTAAAGAAAAGTGTGGTGTTGGTTACTCGCTCTTAATGAAACACTGCAGTTCTTTCTGTCAGAATAAGGGAGGCATTTACGCTCCCTCAGACAAGCAGATCACTGGGCTGACTTTGAATGTATGAGATCTCTCCTCACTGTACATTCTGTGTTTGCATGAATAATATGGTAGTGATTCTTCCTATGTCTTAGTGATTATTCCCAGGATTGAGCGCACACTGTCCTATATCATCACGGAGCTGGATGAGAGAGAGCGAGAGGAGTTCTACAGGTAAGTGATGTGAATGGAGGGGGTCGTGCTGGCCCCTCTCTTTCTTCTCTCAAATTCTCTTTTGAGAGAGAGAAAGAAATGGTAGTGATGGGGTAGAGAAGGAGAACTGTGCAGTAGGCTGGACTATTGACATCCTGCTTTTAGAAACTACCCAGTGCTTATTGCACGTGCAGGTCACCAGTGCTGCCTAAGGACCGGTTCACAGCCACTTCCCTCCTAGATGGGAGTAAACCTCTGCTGTTATGCTGTGTGGTCCTGACACCCTGTGCCGAGGCCTTGGGAGGGAATGGTGGAGCACTGCAGTGCATACTGAATGTCCTGCTGTAAGCGCCTATTCTGTAGATCTAGTTGCCCTCTCCTCTCAGATTCCATGGGAGTTTGCTCTGGGCCACCTTCCCTAGCTGGTGTGGCTGCTCCTGTGTATGCTGTTTCCAGAGCCTTGAGAAGTGATGGAGCCACTAAAACTAAACCTTAAGCAAAATGGGGCTTTCCTTGCTTCTAGCTGACAGAAACAGAGCAGGTGGGGGTGTGATTCTTTCAAAAAAACAGTCTAGTGAAGACTTCAGAAAACACTTCCTAACATTTGCCCTTGAGAGTAATTGCTGTAGGTGCCACAAGGATGTGATGTGATCACAATGGGGGATAGGGGGGAGAAATGGTCTGTGCAATTGTGAATGGGGAGGCGGAGGTTGATCCGCACTCCGCTCTCATGCTATTACGATGTATTCACCACCCAAAAGTTTGAAAACCCTCTCGTTTAAGGGATCAAGAGGCAAACTAGAAAAATACCGGTCCAGAGTGTTTTTGATGGATAAATCTGCAAACTTTCAAGGGCTGTGGTGAGAGAATCTTGGGAAGGTCAAGCTTAATGTGATAGGACTAGGGGAAAGACGTTAGTACCAGTTTAAAGGAGGCAGGGCTAAACATTCACATCTTTCTGTCCTATGTGAAATTCAGATTGAAGGAAGCTGGCTCGTTCATCTGTTGTACCCCTTTCTATTTACTTACATTGTTTAGCATTAAGCTTTCTCAATTAATGAACTTCTAAAAAGGCTCTCTACCTGTCTTTGTTCCTTTGCACCTTTATTCTTTCCTTGTGCTGATTCATTTTCCCATGAATCCTACCAGGTGTCTTGGATAGATTTTCTTCAGTCGCTGTGGGAGGCTTCAGAGGTTCTCCTACCATCCCTACAGGCTGGAGAGGATTAAGTTAGGAGGCAAGGTGTGGCATTGATTGGCCAGCCCACCAGGGTGAACAGCTCATTGCACAGAGAGGGCCACTCAGTCTTAATCTAATTTCAAATCAAGCAGAGGGAGTTAAACACTAATCAGCCACTCAGCCTACCCTTTTGGTGGCAGAGGGATGGCCTACTCTTTTTGTGGGTGTAGTCCTGGGCTTTGTGCCACTGGAAGGAAATTATTGCCCATTAGAGGCAGGCAACCTGGTGCCAAGAAGCTGAAGTTTGAGGAAAGGTTAAAAGAAACTGGCCTTTTTCTTGCTGGGGGGGGAACCATTAAGAGGTTTTAAGGTTGTAATTGTGGCTAAAAAAATTGGAGGATAGCTGAAGCCAGTTGCTCAGTTCAGATCTCAGGTTCAAGCTAAGAATAGGAAAGCGAGGAGTAAACTGCATGCAGGTCAAACTAGTTCACTCCAGAGTAACATGCCTATAAAATGCCCAGTGTATACAGGTTAGGTGCCTCTCTTGCTGGAGTAGGAATTGAGGGATCGTCAGACAAGATAGATTTAGTATGTTTTACAGGTCAGCATATTGGGGCCCAGAGAGCATTTTGCTGTACCTACATGTAAGCTGTCATGTCAAATGTATTGCATCAGCTGTCTTTCCCGGGGCTCCCCAGAGGACTGATGGAAAAGCCGAACTGTTGGAGCACATCTTAATTTCTTAGGAAGAGGAACCATCAATGCAGGCATTAATTACACCCCAATTCTCACTACAGGTTAAAGAAGATTCAGGAGAAGAAAAAAATATTGAAAGAGAAGAATGAGAGAGAGCGGGCGTTACGGAAAGCTGCTGGGGGGGAACATGAACCTGCCAATCTCCTAGCAGAAGAGAAGGATGAAGACCTCCTCTTTGAGTAGCTCTGTTGGATGGGGAGACCTAGACAGCAGCGTGTTAACTGATGTAATTCTGGACATGCTTTCTGGATATTTATGTGGTTCTTCATTTGGTGTATTAGCCTGTGAGCTCCATTGATTGTGGTTTTTCCCAAGATGAGAACTCTGGGAGCTTTTTTTCGTGGGGGTGTAGAAGCAGAAAAGAGAGACTAGCAGGAGTCTGGTCTCTAGTGTAAGGGAGAGGTTCTTGCTACTGCCAATCTACCACCACCTGTTTTGCTTCTTAATGGCTACTGAATCTTGACTGCTGTTGATTAAGGATGTATTTATAGCAATCATACCCTCCTTTCTCTCCTTCCTACCTTTAAAACATAAGGAGTGTTTTCCACTAAGGGAGGGAAAAAAACCCTATGTGCATGTTAACAGGTGAAAGTAGGTGTTGCTACAATTAACTTGCAAAGTATTAATGATAGAAAAGCTAGATTGTTCAGACTAACTTTGTTGCTGGAAGACATCTTCCATTTTGTGTAACAGTAGGAGAAAATTCACATGTCTAGTAAAATAATTTTAAATGTTACTGTCTGGTGTCCACCCTAAGGTTTTGCTAAGTAGGAGACAAAGTTGCTACTTTCATGACCCTGGAAACTGTGGCATAGCAGGCTCAACAACAGTGCAAGCTTTGTAGCAACTGTACCTTAATCTTGAACCAGAGGGGCCCACTTCCAGTGCTGTCTCCATGTCCACTGGACCCTTTGTCTCTCCTGAGGTGATGATGAAGGGGGATAAGTGCTATGGATCACATTCTAGTGTAACCTTGACTGAAATGGCAAAGCCATTTTCTATAGGCCACTGAGCAGCTTTATATAGGACTCTAAAATCCCTGGTGATAGACAAGACCATTCTTATTATTCTTCTGCTGAGGGGTTAACACAGCAGTACAATACATGCACAGAGGCAACATTATTTATGGCATGTCTTATGTTTGGAATGCATGAGTTTGAAGACTGAGTACATTCCTGCTCTGTGTGGTACAGGCTTACAGCTAGAGCTGTGGTGGGGGTGGTGCTGGACTTCAATTCCCACTTGACTATGAGCTCAGCCCTAATTTGTAGTCTTCCCTATGAACTGCATGCATGCCCCTGAGCTGTGTCCACACTGTTAAGATACTTATGGTATTTATTTTGAGCTTAAGGGGCACTTAGTGCTTTTTAAAAAAATTACAGAAGAATGGAACTCTTCAATTGAAATACTTAAGCACTTAGGTTCAACCAACCCCAAAGCAGACTTTGAGTGATGGCAGAAAAGACTTCAACAGCAGCTAGATCAGGTAAAAATTGTAGTTTATTTTGTCTAGAAATATTTTACATTTTTTACATAGTGTGCAGTTCATGAGGTCTCAAAATACAGAGTGCAGATACATTGGGGCTAACCACAGGTCATTGAAATTATTAGTTGTCAAGTCCACATCTTATACAATTATTCATAATCCTTCAATATTTTTGTTTAATTCAGATTATGAAAGTTTTTTTCAATAAATCTGGATTGGTAAAAATGAAGATACCTTCCCCTTTCAGCTGGCTATTAAACAGGTGACCATGCCTAGTGTTTCTTCCAGCAATCAAGTCTTTTACCCCCCAAAGGGACTGAAAAGACACTCTTCCTTCATGACAAAATGGTAGAAAATGCTTTCCTACTTACTCCAGGTTCAGGCAATTTGGGTTCAAACTCTAAAACTGGTGCCAGATACCAATATCCATCTGAGCTCTGTGAGCCTGGTCTGTTCCTCAGTACTGCTCCAGCACACTCACATAATTAGATACAAAGCCAACACTGCCTCCTATAGTCGTGATCATTTCACTTCCATAAATGGATCTCTGTGAAATATCAACACCCCCCCCCCATACTTCAAAAACAAACAGGGTACAGCTAAACATCTCTCAACCTACTGCATTCAAAGTCTTAAGGATAGGAGAGAAGGGCGTGAGATTTACCAGCATTCACAGCATTATTTAATAACAATGTAACATTGAATCTGTCAGGGTTCAGTAATAGAGTGAAATTTTGATAATTCACCTGTGACATCTTTAAAGATGCCTCTCTAAAGATTGCACTTCAACAACTTTTCACTTTAGCAACTTTTTTTTTACAGGCAGTTGAGAATCTACAACTTAAGAGATGTAAACTTCGAAGGGCAGAATTGATGGATAATGCTGTTGCCCCCCAGCACCTGAATTTTGTAGTGTCTCACACCAGACTAAACAGTTAGTGGCTTGCTGCCTCACACTGCAGGTGCATTTACTTTGAATACTTGACTTGGAGCTAATTTAGTAACATGCTAGCTATTGACCCAAACATGATATGCAGTTAATTTCAGTGTTATTTAAGGCTTCCAACACCTGCCTCGCTGTAGGTATGTTAGTGAATGGACCTTATGATTCTTCTCTCAGCCATAGCATGTTCACCAAGATAATATGTACCATGGTTCTAAAACCCAAGTAAACAGCTTATAACTTCTCTCCATAGGCAACCAACTTGCTGGGCCTCGTCTAGGTTTACTGCAGACAGAGATTGTACTATCTTTCACCCTGCAATACAGGAACGTCACTTTACTAAAAGTGACTTAAAACAACCTTTTCACACTATACTCAATCTCTGTGTAGCCTAGAGCTCTTCATTCAGCTATAGACACAGAAGGCAAGAGGTTTGCCTGGATTTGTTCTTCGAAGAAAATATATACACAAAACAAGACTGTGAAAAACAAACTCACTCTTCATTTCTCACTGTTACACTGAATCAACTACACATTGACATAACTCCAGTGTTTAAATGTGGGAACAAGGAAAGACTGTGGCTAAACAAGAGGAGAATCAACATTCACATTCAAGATTGTTCATGCTACCCCCAGAACAAAGAAAAGCTAAAGGTAACATTTCATTTCAATGCTTGGAATAGCCCTGCTGCAGATTTGACAGCTGCACAACTTTCACAGCTCAGGCTAGTCTGTAGGGACATGCTGAACTTAGACGGCAGAACATGCTAGGATATAGACCGTGTAATACATATGTTTCCATATCTGAGGTTGTTTCCTTAAGGTGACTGGTTTACTTAGAGTAGTTACATTCAGCAGTTTTAATTCCAGTTAATTACCTGTAGGACCATTAGCCACAATATATACCAGGGCCAAAATAAAAAGACACTCATTACAACTGCCCATTCAGTCAGTATCCTTTATGTTATAAGAACTGTTTACATTATCAGGAAGAATATTTTTTAAAATCCGCATGTTTTATAAGAATGGTTTTTGTTTTTTTTTTTAATAAAAATATAACCTCTGCCTTCTAAACATCTCTACAAATCTGTGGGGAGCAATGGCTCCCAAATCAACCGATAAGCTTTAAAGAAAAACACAATTCCATAAAAATATCACATCTAAAAGATCAGTACATATTCCTCTCTCATTGGACCTAAGGTTAATGTGCAGTCAAATCTGATTTATAAAGTCTGACTAAAAAGACACAAAGGGTTGAAATATTTACATTATACACATTTTGCAAATTACAGTGCTCTCAGAAAGTGGAATGTAAATAATTAAAAAAATAAATTCAAGCCTAACCAGGCAACTCCAGACCAAAGCGCACCTTATTCTGTGTATTTTTAAAAGGGGAGAATTTCTCATAAACCTTAGTGTCTCATGTAGATTATTTCTCTGCCCGATGTTTTCGTAAAAGGTATATTCACAAACTACTGTCATGTTCCACAAGGTCATTAAGTTAACAGTGTTAAATAATAATATTTATAACTATGTGACAACATGGACTGTATATATACATACATTTAAAATCTTTAGTTTTTAAAGAAAGGTGATTCTAGATAGAAAAGGTAAAGCAGCTGTTAGAAAGGCTATTTAAACTATTAAAAATTGTACTGGCTTGTTCAGAGCTTCCATTTCTAGTCCAAAGAGGAGAAGAAAACCCAGACAATCTTTAATCAGTATATCATTCTGTTCATGAACTGCCTATTAGATTTTCTTCACTAATACACCAACTATCAAGGGGTGCACCCACAGAGGTCTAGAGCTCACACTGCCACCTAATATTTAAGTCTGATGTGCAATCTCCCTTTGACAGACTGCTGGATACAAGTCTGCTTGTCCCTTAGAACTGTTCTTTTTCACCGTAACCAGGTGGATGGCACCCACTGAGGTTCCGTGTCAAGTTTGTTTATTAAACGAAGTAGCTCCTGATATGCCTTATCAAGATCAGAATTCACAATTGCTGTGTCAAAGTAGTGGCCATTGTTTTGTTCCATCTCTCTGGTCTTCTCTATGATTTCTCTTAGCTCTTCTGGCTGTAATGAAAACATAGGAGGAATTAATTTATATCGTATAATTATATGAACATTCTGAATGTTCATTTTGAAAAAATGAACAAAACTACTCATTAGGGGATTGTAAGGTCTTGTACAAAATTTTCATGGCACAGGCAAGTTTGGCTTGGAAACTGCTACAGTGGGCTAGAAAAATGTAATTCCACACACAATGGCTGAAAATGTATGAAGCTGTACAACTACAACAAATATTTTTACAGCAGGTATGTATTTTAATAAGGGCAGGACATGAGACATTTCTATGTATTTTAATAACTATCCAAAATGTGGTAGTTTTGTTTTGTGTGTTCTAAAAGACTTAAGTCTTTAGCAGTAGTTGGTCAGGAAATTCCACTGATCATGCCCAGTCTTATTCCATCACTAGATGATGATGCAGTATTGAGTGAAAAAACTTTTAAAGACACGAAAGGAAAATGATTATTGCAATTAACTGCCCAGCAAATAAGTGCCCTCAAAGGAACCAAATAAGAGAAAAAAAAATGTTTCAAAAAAAATAAAGGCTAAGAGTTTCAAAAGTGCCAAAGTGATGTATGAGCCAAATTCTCATTAATTTAAACAAAAAAACCCACACCAGTGATGTGAAAGAAACAGTGCTGAGATAATTTAGATTGCGTTACAGAAATAGGAACCATGACTTTGAACATGTAACAACACAATTACAAGAATCAAAACAAAGTTTAGGAAAACGTATTTTAAATATGCTCATTTTTAAAAACAAAAAAAACCTACAGGAAAAGGGACAAGATAAGAGTTACCATAAAAAAACTACACCAGGATAATGAGGAAATGTTAAGAACCACACAATGCAAGTTGCTGAAACCAGTTCATCATTCAGTGAATGTTGCAATAACAACAGAAGAGGAATTTCAGGGGAGTGAAAGGGCCAAGTGGCAGAAAAGCAGGAAAATTGCAGATGGGCTGGAAATGAATGTCCAGATAAGAGAGGCAGAGGGAGAACTGGGAAAGAAGTTAGCAGTGGAATGGGATCATTCTACTTCAGGATTTTATTATCAGTGTAAACAGATTACAGAAGCATGTCAGATTTCTCAAAGCTTCCTGTGCTTATTCCACTGCAGCATTAACTAAGGCAAAACATATTGTTTCCCTATGATACATGAGATAAAAAGTAAGGTAGGTATTTTCAAACGGACGTAAAGGAGCGTGACAAGTAGCATCCCATGGAGTTGTATGTCTGCATTTGGTAGGGGGCTTCTGTCAATATTGTTGGGTATCATATTGTCGCTGGGGAGTGTATTACGGTGATCGGGATCATGGAAGAAATTGGTACTTACACTGCAGCTCCAAAGAGACGCCCGGGAAAATGCCCAGGGAGTGAAGGGAATCATCTATATGCTGCCCGAATAATTTGGGGCCCTCAAAGGTTAGGCCTTCAGTGGTGGTTTGTACCTCTTTAGGAAAGCCTAAGAGGTGCAGCCATGACGTCCGTCTCATTACAACAGTGGTAATGATGTAGCAGGCAGTGGTATCCGCAGAGTCTAAAGAGGCTTGCAGAGCTGTGTGGGCCAAGAGGTGTCCTTCAGCTATGTGTGCCTGGAGTTGTTCTTTATGGTCATCAGGAAGGTCTTGATAGAGTTCCTGTATTTTAGAATAGTTGATGTAATTATACTTAGCCAATTATATGAGCGCTTCGTAATTAGATATACGGAATTGGAGAGCAGCAGATGAATAAGCTTTATGTCTGAACAGGTCGAACTGTTTCCAGTCTCTAGCATGGTGTGTAACTCGAGATTGGTATAGGTGTCCTTTTTCTGGCATAGCATTTACAACCAAGGAGTTTGGGGTGGGTTCAGAAAACAAATTCCAAGTCCTTTGTGGGAACATAATATTTTTTGACTACCTGCTTGCACGTTGGTGGGATGGATGCTGGAGTCTGCCAGAGAACCGTGGCAGGATTGAAAAGGGCCTCATTGATGGGAAGGGCTATTTTGGAGAAGGAGGATGTGTACAGGATGTTGAGCAGCTTATGTTGTTGATCCTTCACCTCCTCCAAAAGAATGGGGAGGGAGTCTGCAATCCTGCAAAATAGCTCCTGGAAATGTCTGAAGTTGTAAGCTGCAGTAGGGGGTGGAGGCATGATAGCCTCATTAGGTGAAGAAGCAGAGTGGTGGTGGAATTTCCTGCTCTTGTTCTTCCTCCTCATCTGCTGTAGGGAGAGGCTCAGTCTCTGGTGGACGAGAAGCTGGTGGAGAAAGCAAAGGTGTAGGTTTCCAGCTTTGCTCCATGGGAGGCTTCCCAAACTGGACTCTTGTAAATGGCTCGGGGTCCCAGTTCGGCCAGTGTGGAGAGAGTGGAACATGGGGCTGCATCCACGGTGTCTATACCAGGGTTCTGGTTCAGGTGTGGATTGTGAACAGTGAGGACATGTAGAGGAAGTCGTTTGTTCCTGTCTCGAGTAAGAAGGAGTGATGGACCACTCCTCTTCTTCCTCATTGTCACTGAGGAAGGAGGGTGCCATCCTCGAAGAGGAAAGGGAAGAACATTGTGAGTCTGGAGAAGAGGGTGGAAGTGGGGGAAGGTCGTGTTTGAGTAATGGTGACTCAGGCATGTCAGATACAAGTAGGTCTTTAGGGTATCTGAATTCTTGGGGAGGAGGAAGGCGCATCATCGGTACCAGTGTATGAACTGATGCTGAGAAAGAGATGCATTCTCCTGAGCAGCCAGCAGGTGGAGCTGAAGAACTGCTCAGTGCCGAGGGCTCTAAGTCTGCCTCGTTAGGATCTTTAGACTGTTGTTTAATTCATGTACTTGGAAGGGCCCTGGAGCTATGTCCCCTGTCTGAGAATGTTGAGTCGACTGACCTCGCAGGGGATGATTTTCTCGTAGGTGATGTCTCAGGGACGGATGAGGGATCCCATTTCTTTCGTCAAAGTGAGAGAAAGACAACTTTCTCTTAGAAAGGGATGTGGGAGATGAGGATCAGCAGATGAACTTGCAGAGCGGGGAAAGCTGCACAGGGGGAGAGTCCAGGCCCAGGTATGATTCTTGACCCAGTGCTTTCTCCATGAGGAGAAGTCGTAACCACATGTCCCAGTCTTTTCTGGTTCTGCCAGTCAAATTGTGGCAGTGGGAACACTTTTGTGGGATGCGTCCCTGCACTGTGGGGGCTATCCATTATTGGGAAGTTGACCCAGCGAGACACTCACCTCTTGAACCCAGGAGATCCAGACATAAGGGTGAGGGAAAAAGCTTCTCAGTCAGAAAGCAGAGAAATGAAAACCTAAGCTATGAAGTAATGAGTAGGGTAAAGTGAAAACGGGGGGGGGGGGGGGGGGGGGGGAGGAGAGGAGAAGGAATACAGAGGAAAGAAGAAGAAATTACTAAACTAAACTAAACCTAACAGGTGAGGCACTATCTAAAGGTCAAAAAGGAGAAGCAGACTCTGCTGCAGATTCCATCCCAGACCAAAGGAATTGGGGGGCGGTCGGACCACACCACGCTATATATACACGTCCCGCTCATAGCACGAGATGGGGAGGTATGCAGATGCAGTCCAACGGGCACTGCTGATGAAGATCTCCGATCCCCAGCACAGGGGGAGCTGCTGCACCTACAGTGGAGCACTCATTCTTCAGTGGAGCACCCAGAGGAACACTCGAAGAACTAAAATATTCTGTCTTGTAACTCCAGTGAGAATAATCAGAAAGAAAACAGAGATGGTTTGCAAGAAAATATTTTTATTTATTTTTCCTATCACCAACAGCCAGAGTGGATAAAAATTGATACTGATTTTTTAAAAAAATCAGTTTTTAATTTAAATTATAAGCTTTTCTTTTTAAAAATAAACCTGTTTAAAATTAACTCTGAATTTAAAACTAAATATCATTCTTATAGCTCTTTCTGTACCCGTTCCAAATTTTTAACATCTTGTTTGAGGCGTGGACACCAAGACCTGAACATAGAACTCCAATAATGGTCTCACAAATGAGGTCTGAAGAGATAATACCATCTCCCTATTCATATTTGATATTCCACTACTTATGTATCCCACAGTCATGTTTGCCATTTTAACTACAACAAAGCACAGCCAGCTCACTGTCAGCTGGTCATCGACCATGACCACAAAGTCCTTTTTAGTATTGCTGCATTCCAGGATATAGTCGTCCATATTGTGCAACCTTTGGCTTTATTTCTAGATGTGCAACCTTGCATTTGGCTCATTAAAATACTTGTTGTTCAAATGAGTCCACCTGTGAACTGAAATCCTGAATCCTGTACCCTGAAAATGTACAGCAAATGGAGAGTCCAACCAGAAGACAAGCCATCTTGGATAACTATTTGAACTAGTCGTAGAATTCTTCCCAATCCACTTCAAATGTTTAACACAGATAGTGTCTGAAATCCCACACATACAGAATACTCTTAATTGAAATCAGTTTATTATTTTTATTTTTTGTACAACTAAAACAGATATTAACATGAATTAATGGGGCTTGGAGCTTTGGGTTTCTCCCATAATCTTAATTTTACCGAGCTTCCAAAACAATAAACTGCCAATAAAACACTTAGTTTGTGCTCTAATTTTAATTCAGGAATGTCATGCAATTGGTGTGCCACACACTGATCCCTTTGTTCAGTGGCACGTGCTGGGTGTTTTCTATTGCAGCTCGGATTCTGAATTAATACATTAAGATCTCTCTTAGTGACTGGTATATTATAGTAGTAAAATTACTGAACAGTCTTTAAGCAAAGACTCAAAAGTATTTTTGTCTTAACACAAACTACAAATGCTTTCAATGTGTTTATATTCTAAAAAATAGCATCCAGTCTGCATATCTGTTCAGCAAACTACTTCTACAGTTCAGATATGATTTGACATTTGAGCTATGTTTGAATATGTGCAGCCAGAAAATTAAAAAAAACAAAACCAAAAACCAAAAAACACCTTAGGAAGCTAAGATTAGGTTTGTAATAAAAAAGGATTTCAAACTCAAAACATCTAAGGCATTTTTAACCAATAGGATTGAGGCACACAAATTACACAAGTTAATTGCACTTTAAGACTGGTCAAATTACTTCCAATGTCATGAGTCCATTGCTGTAGTGTTCAACTCCATGCCAGCTGCTCTTGGGAAATGTCTGGCTCCAGTAATGTTTACTCATGACCCTGGTCTACACTGACCAAAATACTGTCTTTAAAACCGTATTAGATAAAACAACTGCTCGAGGTTGTCTTCTAACACAAGGTGGTTTTCTAGGGAAGACAAACCCACAGAGAAAAGCGGCAGGCGAAGAGCGAACAGTGGTGTGAAAAAAGGAGAAGGGTATAGAGGTGGATAGAATTGAAGCACCAATGTACACTTGTCCTGTATTAGTCATTGTCATATTTTAAATCTTTGCTTGTTTTTGCATACTTTTGCTAGTTTTTTATTCTTTAAATTTTAAGTATTAACTTGAAGCCTGGTTGCTGGCCCCATTCAAGTATTTTTAACTGGTGGCTCACCCATAGCTCTGGAGTTAAGCACTTCAAAGCTTGACCCATGACTCTTTGGCATGCATGGAGTAAAAGCACTAAAGCAGCAACTGATCCCAGGTTACAAAGCAGATCTTCAAGCCCAAAAGAACGTCACTGTCAGTTGCTCAAAGCCACCAACCGTTGCAGGCTGGGCAGTATGCAGTAAATGAGACATGTTGTAACAATTAAAAAAAACACTAATAAATTTCTTGTTTTGATTTAGATTTTTGTTTTTAAAGGAAAATGACAGGAAAGAGAAATATACTATAGAACTTCTTGCTAGACCAGCACTAGAATGCTCTCTTCCCACATAATGCACACTCAATGAGGCATGGCTTCATAAAGTTAAATATTTAAATATAATTGTCTGGGTCTAACATTTTTCATATTACATATTTTCACTTGCATTAATAATGCTTAATATTTTTATGCCAAATTCTTTGGAGTTGTCTTTGTCAATGGAGCTCCAGACTTGTAAACAAAACCCACTTATTAAGAAATGTTAAATTACCTTTGGATTTTTACCCTCTTTGGCCAATAAAGCACGTAGCCGCTCTTGCGAAGGTGGTGCAATGAAGATAATATATGGTTTCAAGTCTGAATTGCGTAGGGTCTTCAATGACTGAAGAAAAAAATGTTCCATTTATTATTTCAATCTCATTAATGTTTGTAAAGGACAAGTATAGATGCACTATTCACATAATGTTCTCAAATGCTAAGGTAACTCAGTATAAATTTCAAGAGTTTATTAAAAGTTGTGACATTCCTTAATAGCAGCATGATTAACAATGTCACATAGCCAGACAATCATCACTAACTCTGGTGCCATTCACCTTTTCCTGTGCAATTGGTATTATCACCTTTTTTTTCTTGCTTATGGAACCTCAACATTTGCTCTTGCTCAAGAGTTCTTCATAGAAAAGTAGGTCAACTGTTCCCTAAACTTGGCTTGGCAGAAACTAAATATATGAACTCAGACTGATTGCACTTCTTTCAGTGTTTGAAAGTACAAATAGCCTTAAACTACATTTGCAATTTCTCCATATACAACTGAGAACCAGTATATGTGTTTTGTTACACACTGTCAAAAATTCCATACACAGCATTAACCTTAAAATTAGAAAAACAAGCCAGTTATCCCCTCACAGTTTATCTTACCAAGAGACACCAAGTGCACTAATGATGTGCAAAGCATCCATTTTGCATAGTTTTGTGGTAAGATCACAGGATAGGGAGTCAGGAGAACAGGATTCCATTTCTGGCTCTTCAAGAACTTCCTTCTGTGTGACCTTGGACAAGTCATCATCTCTCTGTGACTCAGCTTCCTCATTTTCAAAATAAGATTACTTACCAGCCTCACAGTGTGTGTGTTAAGAAATTTAATTAACTATTTTTTGTTATGTGCTTTGAGAGTCTCTCATGGACCATTCTAGAGAAATGTAAAATATTATACTACACAGATTGGAATGCACGGTCAGTGTAAACGTGACTCTTTAAAATTCTGAAATAGGGTTAAAGTTCTCCAAATGTATATATTTAAAAACAAACAATGGAAATCATTTAAATAATTCTTTTGTAACTACACCAATGTGATTTTTCACTGTTTGTGTTTGATTATCTAATTGCTATTTTACACCACAGGCTTAACAAATACAGGGCAATTATATGTGATACTGTAGCTGGCATAACAAGACTACAAAAATGCACTGGCAAATCCTTTTGGTTTTACTAAAAGTTAAATTCTAATGTGTTATTAAATAAGTACGTGCTCTGGTTACTGTACACAGAGTTGACCAGAAATGGGATTTCTGATTTGCGGGAAGTTTTGCTTTTTCTAAATTTGGTTTTGTTCCACATTGGAATGAATTCAAGTTGTTTCAAGGTTTCCAGTGAATTGGAAATCCCCAAAATATTTCATGAATCAGAAAGACCGATATATGGTGTTCTCTAAATGAAATCTGTTCCACAGTACCCTGACAGTGGTTGAGTGAAACCAACAAGAATGTCAATTTCATTTAGCAGCTGTTAGGGTAGTGGGGTCTGTGCTTCTGGGGCAGCCCTGCCATGTGGACCTTCCCAACTGGGGCAGTCTGCATGGCGGGGCAGCCCCAGAGCTGCACATCCTGGGAGCGCATCCCAGGTCTTTCAGGTTCTGCAACAGGGAGATTGGAAGGCCTGAGAGCCCTAGCGTTAATAGGTGTTCTAAGGTCTTCCAGGCTTCCTGCAGTAGAGCTGGGAGTCAAGCCCTCGTTAGAGCTGGAGCTCCTATGGGTTTCAAGCTCCCAGCTTCAAGGAAGTGAGCATGGAAGTTCTGGCATGTCTGTCTGCACCAGAGCCATGGAACCTGCAAGACCAGGTCCTCAAGCTTGTGGCAGCCCACAGGCTGGAGCTGTCCCAGAGCCACTGAACTTGTAATACTCTGGCTCCCTAGCAGACCGGCAAGCCAGCAGGTTTCCCATGGCTCCATCAGAACCCTGCATTTGATTCGCCAACAACTTACTGAACCTGAGAGGTTTTCACAAAATATTTTGTGGTTGACAAATTGGCATTTTACAATGAAACTGTTTCACTGGAAAATTTCCAACCAGTTCTAATTTTATACCACCTTAAATATCCCTTGGTAGAGTCTTGAAAAATAAATGTTATTTCTTCAAGTAGTTAATTACTAGACAAGTGAAGTAAGTACTTTGCTAATCAGAACCCCTCCATTATTGCAAGTTAATTTCCCCCTGAACCAAATGAGCACAAAATATTTAGTCACATTACAGATTATTCTACTCTATATAAGTTCTTATACTGTACTCATCACCGTAGCGAGCACCTACCCATGTTTGTCTCTCTGAAATAAATCCCACCAGCATATGAGTTTGAGTGAAAAAAATTCTGAATTTCAAAACCACTAGATTTTGGTTTTAAAGTTTTTCTTTTAAAGTTATTTTCATTTAATTGGAGGAAACCCCACCCCCACTTTTCCAAGCATTTGATGAAAGTTTCCCCTCTAAACTGCATGCTGAGTTTCAGCTTGAGCTGAAGTTTTACCATTTGTTTCAAAATATGTTTAGAATGAAAAAAGGCTGATCCTGCAAAGTTCAGAACACCCTTCCTTCAACTTCCACTTAAGTCAAGGGTCTCTCAACTACACAGATTAATTACATATGTAATTAAAGCACTAGCACTGGCCCATGTTTAGATGGTATGTTATTGAGCATTCACGCTATCAATCCTATTTCACCTGTATTTATCCCTGTGTCAACACACACATACAGTGAAGTGGTGCAAACTCACTGTCCTCTGTGGAACAGTGGCAGTAGGGCTCATTATAACATGTTTTACAGCCTTTGCTGTAATTTACAAGGTAGCAAAGGCTAAAAAGAGGTCATATCAGTAACTGGAGTTGTTTAAAAGTATTGCTGTATATTCCACCTGCTAGAGCTGTTCCTTTTGGGGACTGCATAAGCGCACCCTTGATAATCAGTGCCTTAGGTTGAAGAGAGAGGTACCTTCCCCAAACTATTCCACCCTCTGCAAGATTTCAGAGTTCAGACAGTAAGAAAATTCCAAGGCAGTGGGGGAAGGTGGGCATTATCAACACTCCTAAAAAAAGTTAAAAGTACACAGGGCTTCAGTTTCCAGAGCATTTTTCACAAGTACTATTTATCTAGAGAACAGATATGGATCAGGCTGTAGATATACCTATTCCTATACCTTGTCTGCCAGGATGTCTGAACAATATATAAAAGGGGCTGCCCTAGGGATTGAATAGGCTGCATACAGACGGACTAGTAGAAAATGGATTGTTACCAGGTGTTTGTTTCACACAGGTCACCAGTGTCGTTTTACTAATACCAGATGTTGTTCCTTCAGTAACATGTTCAGTTTTCATAACAACTGCTGCAATGAAATATAATACCTGTGTATGGAGATTTAAAAGGCATATCTTGCCAGAGTTGATTACTTGCCGCACAGAGTCTATGCTGGTACCATACAGATTCTTCTCAAACTCGCCATGCTCAATAAATTTCCCTGCAGATATGTCAGTCTCAAATGTCTGCCGTGAGATAAAATGGTAATCTCTGCCAGCTACTTCATTCTCTCGCCTACTCCGAGTTGTATCTGAAATTAACAACCACCAAACAGAAGTTGAGAAAAAATGGTGTACTTCTCAAATTCCAAGTGTTTCAGGAGTAATACACCTTTTTAGGCTATAGTACTATGCAACATCCAATTAGACAAAAAGGCAGCTATTCTCTTTTCAAAAATAAATCTCTCTAAACAGATTAGTCTGTGTCAATTGTATCATACTGATCTTGCATTTAGTGTTTTTCACGCAGAATGATCTGGAAACTCTTTACCAACTAGAAAAGAAATCCCTTCACTATGCAGCCACTTTGGATGGAAAGCTCCAGCTGTTTAATAAAACACAGCAACATAATTCAGAATACATAGTGGAGAATATCATATTCAATGGAAACTGCAGGGGGAATTTAGGAAAGCACAGCATAATCATCCCAAATTTGAATTTACCAGGACCCTCATGTTAAAATCACTTACTATTGTGAAGAGTTCCATGGGATTTTTAACTAGTGTAAGTGTCCCAATTTTATGTCTCATCTGGGAGAAGAAGAAAAAAAAAAGCACTTCCAGCAGCACCCAACACCATGCTAGGGCACTGTTCCAGTACTGACTTATCAAAGCCACTTTCTGCACACAAAGGTTATCTTTACTGATCCTCCTACCCAGAACTGATCTTACCCTGCTTAGCTTGCAATATTCACGAAGATCATAGCCTGAGGTGGTCTGGTTGCAGGTTATATTTAGGATAGTGGTTATACTGTCTGACAGAACATACCCCTGTATTCACACCCTACAAACTACTGTAATAATCTTTGTACAAGGTATGCCATGTAAGGCATCTTTTGAAAACTCAATTCACTGGTCAGTAGTGTCCCGATAAAATATATGTAGCAACACTGTATGTGAAGCTTTAAGACTTTTCTGTATGATATTATTAACGTATGTTCCAAATCACACAGCTCTGCCCAAGCACAAGTTGGCAACCAGGTCTGTCCTAAATGAAGGAATGTGTGTTTGCCTTTATTTGCATTTTAGCAGTAGACAGAGTCATCAAGCAGGAAGGGAAAACAAAGGAAGTTCAAACAGGAAAGAAAAAAAAAACAAAAAACCCAGCAGGGAATATTCTTCCATACAGACACTGTCTCCTAGTTCTCAGCTGGAAATAGGTTTCAATAGGGGGACTGGAACTATGAAAAGCAGGGACAAACACCCCAAGGGACCCCTCTCCCTGCACATCTCTTTCTCTGCACCTGAGAAGACAAAAGGAAACAGCTGTTGGACTTTGGGGAGGGATCCTGACCTGAAAATATGGTCAGTAATCTATTGGAGCATGTGGTGAGAAAGTTTGCTTTGTGACCAAGATAGCTTCTTACCAGTAAGCATTTTTATCTTTATTTTTCTTGTAACCATTTCTGACTTTTATGCATTATTACTTATACTCACTTAAAATCTCTCTTTGTAGTTAGTAAACTTGTTTTATTGTTTTATCGAATACAGTGTATTTAAACTGAAGTGTCTGGGTAACTATTTAAGGTAATAAAATGGCATATTATTCCCTTAAAGGAATAATGGACTTAATGTATTTGCACTGTCCAGGAGAAGGCCAGGCAGTACAGGACGTACATTTCTGGGGAAAATCCATGACTGGAAGTGTGTTGGAGTCAGTATAACAGAGACTGCTGAGAACCAGGGTGTAACTGGAAGACTGCAGTTCCACACTGACACTCAGGGTGTGGCTTGCATGCTTGAGGGCTGTTTATGAGGAGCCCAGGTGGGAACTACTTCAGCAATGCATTGTAAGACATCCAAGGTTGCAGGGCAGGGGTGACAGCCCCCCCACTAGTCTGAATTGTACCCTGGTGTGTCACATCCTCCCCTTAAACTTACGAGGAACTGCAGCTGCAAAGCGATCTACTTCATTATTCATTAGCCTCTGACGTAGTTCATTCTGGCCGCAGTTCTGTGGGCCAATCAGGACAATAGGCCTTTTCCTATTTGCTGGCTGGTGATACAGTGACATTTCCTCATAGGTTAAAATTTCTTCATTGTCATAATCTTCAGAGATAAAACAAAAACAAAAAAAACCCTGAAAAATATTATTTAAAACAAAGACGACAACCAGATATAAAACATGACTGATGTTATTACTACATGAGAAAGACAAGGTGGGTGAGATACTATCTTTTATTGAACCAACTCTCACAGACCCCTTCTTCAGGTGTGGAAAAGGTAACCAGAGTGTCAGAGCTAAATACAAGATGGGACAGACTGTTAAGCATAAGGGGTTAACTCATTTTAAGTGGTCTTCTGCAATGTAACAAGAAACCCATGGATCATCACACTTATCTCCACAGATCCAATAACCATTCCAGATACTAGGAGGAATCTTATCTACAGCCAGGCACAGATACTACAGAATATGGTCAAGAGAACCTCCTTCAGTACAGGAAAACACCCCCCCGCACTCCATATGGGGTACCATCAAAAAATTACAACTCATATTGGATGGAGACCACTCTTGAAATAAATCTTTCCTGAATCTCTTCTGGCCTTCAAACAACCCCCCAGCCTTCCCAAGCTCATCATCAGAAGAAAGCTTTCCACAGACCAGGATACACTAACTCAAAGCAGCACCAGACCCTCCCAGACCAACAGATGCAAAACCTGCAGACCTATTTCTATGGTTACAATGATTAATACCCTCCACAACACACCACTCAAGATCTATGGGTCCTAATATGCTGATCACAACATGCGGTGTACCTCATCAGTGCATCAAATGCCCCAGCAACAACTATGTGCGTGAAACCAGACAATCTCTATTCTCTCAAATAAACTCTCACAGAAATATGATAAAAAGACAAACATTCTATTACCTGCGGGTGAAAACTTTTCACAAAGCAATCACTCCATCACTGATCTCTCAGTCCTCGTCCTTCAAGGAAATCTACATAACCCCTTCAAAAAAGAGGAGACTGGGAATTTGAATTCACAACTCTGCTAGACACTAAAAATCATGGACTCAATGGAGACACTGGTTTTATGGCTCACTACAACAATTTATAACCTAACAACCCTTGTTTGTCCTATGACTGCAGAGATGTTAATTGCCCACTTCATTTTAAGTGGTCTCTGTAGCATTTAAAAGCTTCTCTTTTCCACCAACACAAGTTGGTCCAATAAAAGATATTACCTCATCCATCTTGTCTCTCTCATATCCTGGGACCAACATGGGTATAACAACACTATTACTATATGGCAGTATTAACTGCAATGTGAGCCTGACACATAATGTAAGGAGCTTAGGGAAACCCATATCTCTTCCTTTCTCACTGTGCACCTCTCACTCTTGAGTCCCTCTGATGGGTATATCAGCCTTTCGGCTGAGAATTGGAGAGATCTCATTGTCTGTTTATTTCTCCAGGATTGCGCTATTCAGCAATGAAATGCATTCCTCTTCCTGTCAGAAGAAAGTGTGCTGCCAGGCCCTACTGGCACGGATTTGGGGAATAAATTTGCTGATATGTTTATAAATTAGGTTTCTAATAAAGAAACAGTAATTCAGCAATTATTTCTTGGTATTTATATTTATAACCAAAATTCAATTTTTTTTAGATTTTGTCATACAATTTGCATTTACCATAAATCCCAAAAGTACTTTTGTATATAGAACGCTACTGGAAGGAACTTTCTGCTGACACAGTTTCAGTCTCATATCGAATATGCATACAACATTCAATAAGAAATAGCAGGGACAAGCTTTATTTAGCACAAAAGAAGAAATGGATTTGTCATTGTTACAGCAAGATAAAGAACATTCAGGACATTTTAACTAGAAAATTCTAAAACTGACATACAGTTCACATCAGGGTTATTACTACTTACCATCGTTTTTATTGGCATTGTACAAAACTTTTTTCCGTTTCTTCTTATTTTTCTTTGCACACCAAAGTTTTCCTGGAAGTCAAATTAAAAAATCACTAGAATCAGAAATGCTTGGACACAAAAACAAAGCTTCTTTTTCCTGGCTGTGTACTTAAAGATGGTAGGATACAGTTTGTCTTTCTAAATATTTTACATGTATTTAAGTAAACTAAGAAATATAAATTTCTATAGATTATAGCTATGTAGTATTAGATTAATATAACTCCTACAACACAATACCAACTGCCTCCTGCATTGCTCAGACTCATAATGTGAGGTCATCTAACTCTTCTTGTTCTCTTACCTAATACATTCAGTAGAGTTCAAATACTCCCACTTTTCTTCCACATTTCCAAGGGCCATCCTTTCTGTTAGGTCTTTACTGCTAAAAACTCTTGACCATACGCTCTTATTTTGTGTCTTGACTATTATAAACTCTTATTCTCTGACTGCCTTAATATCCCTTATCTCCCTGCCAATTCATACAAGACACTTCCTAAGAATCTCCTCTTTGTTGCTTTGACCAGACTTTATCCACCCTTGTCTAGTTAAGGTGGTCTCAGAGTACACAGATCTTTAGAAGTTTTCTTCTAACCCACCTCTGTCACTATAGTAACAAGGGAGGGGTGATGGATGAAATTCCTCTCAGAGAGGATGTGAGGCTCATCTCCTTGAATTACTCCAATGAGATTTGCATGTGCTATGAGAACATTTGAGTACTAACAAGCTCCTACACAAACTTCTTGCCTATACTAAGAATTTCAGAGAATTATCCCATCCAGGCTAGATCTACAGGTGGGAGAATTCCCTAAAATTCTGTATGTAGACAAGGCTCCAGAGACACTGACAATCAGAGTCCAGACACTCCAAGGAAAGAACGGATGGTTTAAACCCCCAAAATGAGCAGTTGAACCAACTGACTGCATACTGTATTATGGTACTGTAAAGTGTATCGAGTAAGGTCTTTTATGAAACCCTGAACTTAATGGTCATTAGGACATATCTACAAACTGTGGTTATGAATCTACATATTTATGTACATAGAAAACTGCATTCATGACCTTACTACAACTTCAACTATACCCAGGGCAGGCCTTAGGGAAAATGGCACCCTGGGTAAACTTGTATTTTGGCGCCTCGCACCCATCATCCCTGGCTCCCACAGGCTCCCTGGGCTTCCCCCCTTCCATCATTTCTGGACCCTGCTGCCTCCCCCAGTGTTTAATTTGTACTGAAAGAGATGACAGAGTTCAGCCCTGGCCCAATTTAAGCACTGGGAGGGCAGCCTGATACTGGTGGGTGTTGGCTGCGTGCCCAGCTCTGATAGCAATGCCACAGTCAGCAGCAAAGTAGAATTAAGGGCGGCATCTTGCCAGAGCCCACAACCCTCCTGCAGCCCTCTGGCCACTCCTGGCTCACCAGGGCACCATTTCAGATTTTGGGGGGTGGGAGGAAACTTTAACCATAACTCCAGCGACTACTTAGGCATCTGAAAACTCTAGGTTTGTTTTTGTTTTTTTTGTTTGTTTTGCAGATAACTTAGGAGTTAGCTGACAGGAGCATTATATGTAATTGCTATATAAAGAAATAAAAAATAAATATGGCTTTAATTGGAGCTTGTATATAAAGTTTATATGTAAATTTAGAACAATCAGGAGATAATACAGCAAAATATTCCCAATCCCAAACCTTGAGGTATCAGTTCTGGAGCTTTTACACATATCAGAAACACATGGTTGATACTTCGTACAGTATCTCTACTAAAATACAAATAAATAAAATCTGCTTACTTTCTCTAACAGACACTCTGTGTTACTGCCATTATCTACTCTATTTTAGTCAACTGTTTTTCATTCCACTAAAAACATAATTTTAACATACGTGATTAAGGTTTCCCCCCCCTTTTATTAAGAAAGGGAATATGTTTTTCTAATGATTTTAGCATTCCAGGTGCAACCTGTAACTGAACTGGTATCTAATTTCAGGGCAAAGTTAAAATCCATTATGGAGCTGGTAGAGCGTAACCTTGAAAGAAGCCATGTTGTACAAAAAAGCATGCATGTGAAAAAGCATGTGAAAGAGCCCTTGATACCAAAACTTCAGACACCACTTGAATTAACATTGGTATGACAGCTGCAGAAATTTTCTTTAGAATATATATCCAACCTGATTTCTCTGGCTCCTTGTCTTCTTCTATAGTTTGCTTCATTGCTTCCCTTTGCTGTTGAAAGCTCTTTCCTTAATGTATAAAAAAGGTACATAAAAGCAGTTAGCACTGGGAAACCACTCCTATTTCCTTTTACAAGCAAGATGCCAGTTTTCTTTAACTAATTTCTCAGAATTACACAACTACACTATTATCATACCTCTCAACCTGCTACGGCCCAAGTGGTACACACTGTGCGACAAAGATCCAAAATGAGGGACAATGTGTTATAAATGAAACTTAAATTTTATGGAATTCATTCTTTTAGGGTAAAGAACTTTCTATAATCTCAGTTTCATGACTACAGTTAATGTATATAATTTTAAACAACGAAAGTAAGGAGATGGTGAATTTGTGTGGAATGTAGGTAACTGACTAAAGTGTAATCCTTCAAAATAAGGGATATTTGGAGGTACAACTAATTTATATTTCTGCATGTGAAAAACAGAGGGTTCTATTTGCAGTTTGGTTGTAGTGACCTAATTAAGCAAATGGACATTTATGGTTAACTTTTCACAATGGTGCATGGAATCAAGCTGTATGACTTTTGCAAGCAACTTTTAAAAAACATACATTCCTTTTAAGATCTAGTTTTCCCACTTAACGTCCTCTCGCTTAACATTGTTTCGATGTTACGTCCCTGCTCCATTACAGGACAGGCTCATTTAAAGTTGTGCAATGCTCCCCTATAACGTCGTTTGGCTGCCTGTTTTTCCACGGCTGGCAGGCCTCCCCTCCCCCCCCCGTACCTCCCGCCTGCCAAGGGACCCTGCAGATTAGTGCCTTCCCTCTGTTCCCCCGCCTCCTGCTCGCAGCAATCAGCGATCTTGCAGTATTCAGGAGGCTGCGGGGAGGAGCGAGGACACGGTGCGCAGCCTCAGTTTCATGACTACATGACAGAAATCTCAGTTTCATGACTACAGTTAATGTATATAATTTTAAACAACGAAAGTAAGGAGATGGTGAATTTGTGTGGAATGTAGGTAACTGACTAAAGTGTAATCCTTCAAAATAAGGGATATTTGGAGGTACAACTAATTTATATTTCTGCATGTGAAAAACAGAGGGTTCTATTTGCAGTTTGGTTGTAGTGACCTAATTAAGCAAATGGACATATTATGGCAAGTGATGGTGTAATACAGTAACTCCCCACTTAACGTCCTCTCGCTTAACATTGTTTCGATGTTACGTCCCTGCTCCATTACAGGACAGGCTCATTTAAAGTTGTGCAATGCTCCCCTATAACGTCGTTTGGCTGCCTGTTTTTCCACGGCTGGCAGGCCTCCCCTCCCCCCCCCGTACCTCCCGCCTGCCAAGGGACCCTGCAGATTAGTGCCTTCCCTCTGTTCCCCCCGCCTCCTGCTCGCAGCAATCAGCGATCTTGCAGTATTCAGGAGGCTGCGGGGAGGAGCGAGGACACGGTGCGCAGCCTCCCCGCTCCCTCCCCTGCCTCCTGAACACCGTAAACCAGCTGACTGCCGCGGGCAGGAGCCAGGGGGGAGGCTGCGTGCCACATCCTCGCTCCTCCTGAACATCGCAAATCAGCTGATTGCCACCGGCAGAAGGCACTGATCCGCGGGGTCCGCTGGCGGACGGGAGGCACTGAGGGTGGGGTGGGGGGGCGGTGTGTAGAGGAGCTGCCAACCTGTTTAATACCTGTATTAAATTGCTTGTTTAAAATTGTTTTAGATGTATATAATGCCTTTTGTCTGGCAAAAAAAAATTTCCCTGGAACCTAACCCCCCCATTTACATTAATTCTTATGGAGAAATTGGATTCGCTTAACATTGTTTCGCTTAAAGTCACATTTTTCAGGAACATAACTACAACATTAAGTGAGGAGTTACTGTATAGGGAACAATCCTGTATTGTTAAGGACAGGGACTGCATGATCCAATAAGATATTTCCATCTTTAACGTCTATGATTCTTAAATGGAAGGATTCAGCTCTTTGAGAAATACCATGCAAACACTTATAAAAGGAAAAAGTTATTTAGAAAACTGTCGTTCACTGTAGCGTTCCCAACATACACCTCTCAAGGAAGAGGAGTGTATCCTTAGTATTACTCTGAGCAATTCTGCTTTGAAGAGTGATTATAAAAGAATGGCATTGTTTTGCAATGATTTTCATATTAAATATGCTCAGTTTGCAAGTAAAAAATGTGGATGTTTTGTGTTTTTATAAATTCCAGCCCTGCAAAATCAGCCTGGACTTACAGAATCAAACTGAGTTCCTTTTCATCTCATCCAAACATCACAAAGTAATGAAGTCACACTTGTGAAACACCTGTCTTCAAATTATTTCTTGTTCACCATATTGCTGCCACTGGATTTGCATTGCATGGGTGTAACAGATAAGATCTTAATAAATAACTCTCTTGTTGATGCTCCACAATAGAAGGTAAACACTGGTTCCAATGACTGAAAATCCAATTAATCTGAAGCTCCAAGCAGTTTGAAAGAGCAATTTCTCTACCTACTGCTCTCTGTACTTACTGAGCCTAAATTTGCTTTCTCAGAGGGCGGCAGAGTAAACTGGGGTTAAGGTGCAGTGTTGCTGCAGCAAGCAGCAGAGGAAATGTGAACTCAAAGGGAAAAAAGCAGAAACTAGTGGAATGATCAGGTCTAATCTGTGATTGGCAGACATACCAGTGGATGCCTGTGTATGAGAAAATTAACACCTGCTTCCTAAGAAATAGGTAACTATTTTTGAACATGTAAATTAATTTCTATATCACAAAACCATCACAGTGGTTCTCTTTGCTCAAAAGAGGTTCAAGCAAGAGATGGACATTTAACGAGCCAAACTCCAGGATATAAAAGTCTCTTTCAAGACTTTTCACTTGCTGTAGTGGCTTGTATTCCAAACAATGGCACCTCAAAATTTCTGCACATCTGTGTTTTTGGTTACATTGCACTGTACCTGGGATAAGGCCTGCCAAAGGCTGATTGTCTTCATCTCCATCTCGGTAGGCCTGCCACCAGTTTGGATCTTCTTGGCTGATCACATGGAGTATATCTCCCTTTTGAAAAGACAGACCTAATTCTCGGCAAGGTACATAAGGATCATCAGAAGGATCATAGTCAAAATGTGCTTTCACGTGTATCTAGGAAACAAGAGATATAAAAATAAAAGGGAAAATATATTTAGTAATTCCAAGGATTCATATCCCCTAAAACATTCTCTCCCTTTGGCTGTGAAACAAAATCTGTGACAAGTTGTAATTTCAATATTTGAGTCAGTCTCTTGTATGCAGGTATGGACGGCACTACTAACATATGTATAATGGTGGGGAAAATATACCCGTACCAATTTGGGGGAAGGTTAGAAACTGAAGATGAAGGCATGAAAATCCTTTCATACAAATGACTATGCGCCAAAAACACTGAGGTGAAATAGTTCAATCCAGTTAATGAAGTTAATGGAGACACACATAGGGGTTTTGGTGGTACTTTTAATGCAAATTCCTAGTTTTGCTACTTAATTTTGGCTAAAAGGGAAGACTACTTATCTGTAGTTCTGCTTCTCTGAAGACATCATTACACTGGACTCTGATTCTTGTGTTAGCACTCTTTATCGCAAAGCCTATACAACTCCCTTAGCTCAGATTTTTTTCTCTGACCAGATACTGATTTAATTCCTTGAGATCCTGAAGGGTCAGGGTCCTCCTGGCTTTTTTGCTCATCAGGAAGTACCTAGCATAAAATCCATTTCCTTTTTCACAAAGTGGCACAAACTGATGACTGTCTTTGCCAGGAGGGACTGGATTTCCTGCAGCATTTTTTCCTGACACTGAGAAGAGAGAGAGAGAATTCTTGGGCACTGACAATCTGGAAGTATTTCTGAAATCCTAATTTAGTTGCTTCACCAAACTGAGTTTGCACCATGTGTCCAAGGTGGCCAGGGCTGACTAGGTGTAAAAAGCTTTTAAGTTTGCTCCAAGCACGGATATCCTGGCAGGATACTGAAAGTAGCACATATGGTACACATTCTGGAACCCTAAAGCTTTTGCTGCTTGTACGAACTGGGCTTAGAACCAGTCAGCTTCTGCAGCTGATGAGGCTGACCACTCTGGAGCTGGGATCCTTTGAAATCAGTTGTAGATGGCTTATAAGAAGAAAAACTTTTCTTTTGCATCTTTTAAATTAGGGCCATGAAACAGGTCCAAGACACTAGTATGCATGTTATTTTTCCCCTCTGTAAAGAGGCTTACATCTGCTTCCCTAACAGGTTCTCTTTGGCATATAGCAGGTCCTTGAATTTTTTCTGCTGGAAATTAGATGTCTGCAGCCAAGCTGAAGGAATCCACTCAAAGTAGCATCCTTTGCAGTCATATCCTGCATTACAGGATGCTCACACCTGACATAAGGCAAAGTCTACACCATAATGGATAATTTCTCTGAGTTCCTGGTAATTCTCTTTGGAGGAAGATCAACCAGGGCAAAGGCCTTCTACAGCTGCCACTGGCCACACAGGCCTGGTTGAGCCAGGTGCATCAATCACATAAGGAATATGTGATAAGGCGAAGTAGGCTAAAGCATGGATGAGTAAAATCCAGGACACGCAAGGTGGTAGAGAACTGAAATTAAGTGTGCTGAAAAGGTGTGCCAAGAATAAATGCACCAAATCACTAATATTACAGCAACCGAACACCGAGGCTCCCTAAGCAGACAGCCCAAAGCACTGGAAAATGTACTGCAGCACAGAGCTAGGTGTCAGAGAGCACAAAACCCAAATTAATAAGGAATTTAGCTAACAAGTATAAAAGATATGCCTGATCCTCTAATAGCCACAAAGACTAATCACAGCAGGAAGTTTCTTCTCTAGGTGTGCTCAAGAAGGAACTGGCATAGGCAGAGGTATATGTAGTCCGTCATGGGTAGTGCATGACACTGCTATTCCTCTCTAGTGCCAAAAACTACTGTGCTATGGGAATTTTGTTAGATTTGTGCTAAGGAGCACTAAACTTGTGAAAAGCCTAGATCCTGCCTACAGACAAGGCAAAACTCCCCACCAAGACAGTTGAAAATGGATACGAGAGGCACACATTTCTGCTTTCCCCACCATGCTGCATTCTATATAGGTAAAAGGGGGTTCCAACTGCTATAGTATCTTTGGGAAGGAAGGAATCTATTCCCTTTGCCAAAAAGAGGTAATTCTAGAATACAATTTGAGAATTTGCAGCCAAATTAGTTCCTTAAACAGGAAAAAAGTCTTTTTAAAAAAAGGTCTGAAAACAGAGAGGCCTGGAACCATGCACCCGCTTCTGTGAAGGCAAAAATTAAACTAGCTGGCTTGTCAGAGGAGGGGCATAGTCACTGGCAGGAAGGTTGACGGGTCTGAGCTTGTCTCCAAGCTGCAACAGTTTGAAAGTTCACTGTGATAGACTATGGACTTTAGTATGATGAAAATACTAACTCTATCTAATTAAGGGAGTTTACCAAAGTGCTATTAGTCACAGGTATGTGGCAAAACAAAAAAATCTCACTTCACACTGCAGAAGCCTTCTTCCATTATACAACTGTTTTTCACTACGTAATAATTTAAATAGGAATTATAGTTACAGAACACACACAGTAGATCCATACATGCTGAAAAGGTTGGTGAGGAGAACTGAGAACACACACTCCTTTTACAGAATGTGAAAATGCAGTCAATTGCCTATTTTTATGAAGGTAAAGAAAATCCTTAGAGGCAGTATTGTATGTGCAGTGGAATTTGCTTATAGTCAAATAATTTTTCTGGGGAAGAGATCACTTCATTAGTACCAGAGTTTTATTACTGTCTGAATTACAGTTTTCAACACAATGGTGGCTATATGTAAGAAACAAATTGACAGATTATAAATTAAAATGCCAGAAGGGACCACTGTGATCATCTAGTTTCCTGCATACCACAGGCCATAGGACTTCTGTGAATTAATTCCCTTTTGAAAAACATCCAACTAGATTTAAAAATTGCCAGTGATGGAGAATCCACCACAATCCTTGGTAAATTGTGCCAATGGTTGATAAGTGTTAATTTTTTTTTTTACCTTGTTTCCTGTCTGAATTTATCTAGCCTCAACTTCTAGCCATTGTGTCTTACTATACTTTTTTCTGCTAGATTGAACAGCCCACTATCCAATTTTTGTTCCCCCTCCTGGTACTTATATGATTAAGTCACCCCTTAACCTTCTCTTTGTAAAGCTAAATAGACTGAGCTCACTGAGTCTCTTACTATCAGTTTATAGCATGTTTTCCAATCTTTTAATAATTCTTGTGGCTCTTGTCTGAACCCTCTCCAGTTTATCGACATCCTTCTTGATTTGTGGACACAGTAGTCCAGTAGCGGTCACATCAGTGCCAAATTTACAGATTATCAATCATTTATGATTTCACAAGCTCTCTCTGATCTTTTAAAAAAAAACACCACCACCTTTTTATTCTTTGTCATTTTTCTGCTCAGCCCCCAGAAAGACATTTTTCTAATATTTTGGAAATTTAAACTGGATTAAGGAGATAATTATAGGTCTCAGGTTACTTTTACTGACCTTCAATGACAGCAAAAAACCTACAGGCACATAAAGAGTAGTGAATGCAGTATTAACTATTCTGATTGGTCAGCGTCAGATGACCAAAATTCCTTGTATCTAGATCTGTGTTTCATTATAAAAGTAGTACAACTCCATAGGAATGCATTAAAGGTAACAGAGATTTCATTTTTACTGAAAGAAAAGGAGTACTTGTGGCACCTTAGAGACTAACAAATTTATCTGAGCATAAGCTTTCGTGAGCTACAGCTCACTGCATCTGATGAAGTGAGCTGTAGCTCACGAAAGCTTATGCTCAAATAAATTTGTTAGTCTTTAAGGTGCCACAAGTACTCCTTTTCTTTTTGCGGCTACAGACTAACACGACTGCTCCTCCGAAACCCATTTTTACTGAATTATAGATGAGGTTTCATTATAAGTGATGCTTGCTTATCAGTCTCCCACCATGTTACTGTAATTTAAAGGTTTTGTTCATCTTTGAATAAATGTTGCATAACGCTTTACGTAAGCTGCTATAGTCCAAGTTAAAGATAACTCAAGACACTGTTAGCTAGAAACAAACATTTTAGAAAGATCTTCAATTTACTGCTTTTTTTTCCAGATAAGTTTTGCAAGTTAAGGCACAACCCACCACTTTTTAATTCCACCCCCTATCTGTAATGGAGAAATGGATATTCTCAAAAGAAAAAAAAAATGAAACTTCAGAACATTTCAGAAGTGCAAGCAGCTCTAGATTTAGCATTTCTTACTTGTACATGTTTAGTGACTGACAGTAAGCAATGCTATATAGGATAGGTCAACATTTGCAGCAGCAGCACGTAGAGTACAGACACTGGATGCCCAGCTAGCACACGTATAAACAGCAGTGTAGATGGTGAGACACTGCTTATGTGAGTAAAGTACAGACATGCCAGAACTCTAGTGAATATAGCCTGCATAGCTCTCTACATACCCAAGCAGGGCCTCCCATATCTACACTGTTTTTAGCAGTGAAGGGTCCTGCTGCCTCCCTGTTGCAGTAAAAGACTCCAGCAACAGGGAGCTGCTGGAGCCTTTTGCTGCCTCAATGAAAGACTCCACTGCCTCCCCCCCACTAAAGTCTTTCACTGTGGTGTGTAGTCACATGTACTCTACACATTGCTGCAAGCACAGACAAGGCCATAAACTGAGCACAAATGATCACATTTTGTTGGAATTGCCAAGGCCAATGGTTCTCAACCTTTCCGGGCAACTTTTCAGGAGTCTGATTTGTCTTGCGTACCCCCAAGTTTCACCTCACTCAAGAACTACTTGCTTACAAAATCAGACATAAAAATACAAAAGCGTCACAGCACACTTATTTACTGAAAAATTACTTACTTTCTCATTTTGTCTATATGAAATTTTAGTTTGTACTGACTTTGCTAGTGCTTTTTATGTAGCCTGTTATAAAACTAGGCAAATATCCAGATGAGTTGATGTACTCCCTGGAAGATCTCTGTGTACCTGCAGGGGTACACGGACCCCTGCTTGAGAACCAATGCTCTAGGCAGTCACCTGTGATTATTTTCAGCAGTGTTACTCAAATCTTTGAGGTCTAAATCAATTTCTTTTGTTTCGTCCTGTAAAATGACCCACAAAAGACCTTTGTAAGCACTGGGTGAAAAACAACGGTTGTAAGATTAACATAAATTTCACTTACAACTGTCTCCTTGGCAGGAGGTGGCTTGCTCTGTTGACTGGGTATCAGCACAAATGTCAGAGTGCCATGCATGTCAGCCTGCAACAAAACAAGATTCCAGTAATCTACACCATAAATACTTGACTATTTGAATTAGGGATTCCAATAAATAACATTTACTGTTTTCAAAATGCAATACGAATTCCAAGAAAATCCAGGCCCTATAATCAAATGCATCATTATATCACTATGTGGGTTAAGATTTATAATAATCCCAATATACATACATTCCTAGAGAAAAGTGACACAGTAGGAAAGACTAAAGAGCTTGATGCTGATCTCCAGATGATGGAAGCCTAGAAAGCTTGGTTGTACAAATTATTTTCTCTATACAACTTTACTGAGAAAAGATGGGGAAATTAGAGAACTACAAGGATTACAATTCTGCCACTCTCTTCTGAGTTGTTAATAAGTCAGTTAATACTGGAAAAGAAGCTAAAACAAAGATGAAAATGTTCATGGTGAACTCAAATTTCTTTCAGTTATAAAACAGTGTTTCTAATTACAAGTGTAAAGAGAGTGCTTGCTTATACTGAAACATTGCCAAAATGTACATAAACAAATTTACAGTATTTTCCTCACATCAAGGCACAAAACCATCATCCATAGAAATTATATCACTAACAGCTAAAATATTTAATTGTTAACCACAGATGTTGTGCTCAGTCCTATAAAGAAAGTCAGCGAAGTCCTTGCCCTGAAGAGCTCACATACTTAAGATCCCAATCCTGTAAAGATTTACACATACACTTCAATTTACACACCACGTAGTTCTCCTGACTGACAAGTCAACTCACAGTGCTTAAAATAAAGTGTGTGTGTAAATGATTGCACAATGGGGTTCTTAGGACCTGATTTATATGGTGCAGCAAGCATTACACTCAATTATGTTTGCACAATCAGGTCTTATGAAAGCAGTGCATGGAGTGTGTACAGCTCATTTATACAGAAAGAGGTCAGCTGACCCTTCCATGGGACTTAGAACCAGGAATTCCTGAATTCTATCCTAAATTACATTGATTTGTTGTATGGCCTTTTGTAAAACGAGGATAACAAATTTATCTTCTGTTGCATGGATTAGCTGCTGAATGACTGTAAAGCATTTTAGAGTTAAAAACACCAGAAAATTATTATACATAAGATTATGTTAAAAGGTTGCAAAGTCAAGCGCTCAAAAGTTAAGAAACCCTAGCATTAAGGTTGCCCATATAACCCTAACTTGAGGGTGGGTGGGTGGGTGGCTGTGGGGGGGTGTGTGTGTGTAATAATACTATATAGTCTTTAGTTACACAATACTACATTCAATCTTCCATTATATGATTCTATCTGGTGGGAGCTATGTCAGTATGGAGTAAGTCAGGGGTGGGCAAACTATGACCAGTGGGCTGGATCCTGCCCATCAGGGCTTTGGATCCGGCATGCAGGATTGCCGCCCCATGCTGCTGCTGTAAGCAGCTGGCACCAAGTCCCTGCGGCCTCTAGGGGAGGGGTGGCAGAGGGCTCCATGCACTGCCCTCGCCTGCAGGCATCGCCTCACCCGCAGCTCCCATTGGCCAGGAACGGGGAACCGCGGCCAGTGGGAGCTTTGGGGGGGGAGGTACCCGAAGGCAAGGGCAGTGCATGGAGCCCTCTGCCTCCTCCTCCAGGGGTTGCAGGGATGTGGTGCCAGCCATCTCTGGGAGCAGCGCGGGGCCAGGGCAGGCAGGGAGCCTGTCTTAGCCCTGCTGCGTGCCACTGCCACCTCAGAGCCGCTCCAGGTAAGTGGCGCTGGGCCGAGCCCACACCCCGTGCCCCAGCCCCCTCCCGCACCCCGACCCCCGCCATACCCTGCACCCCTCCTGCACCCCAAACCCCTGCCCTGAGCCCCCTTGTACACCCCGCACCCCTCCTGCGCCCCAACCCCTTGCCCTGAGCCCCTTCCTGCACACCGCACCCCTTCCTACACCCCGCACTCCCTCCCCCAGGCCTACATTCATGGCCCTGCATGGAATTTCCCCACCCAGATGTGGAGTTTGCCCACTCCTGGAGTAAGTTCTTCGCAGACAATCTTCAGAACACAATACTGCCAAAGTCTTATAAACCTCTACTAAGCACATACAAACTGATTTTTCAGAGGCTCATAACTTGGCTAAATTTGAACAGATTTTGCAGGGAGGGCAAACTACATCCCTAGCTTGAGCCCCACCCCCAACAAATTTCAAGTCCTTGCTACAAAAGTATGGATGTTTAAGATATTTTGAATCAAATGGTTGTAAGATTTTTTTTAAACTTGGACAAATTCCCTAAATTCTCTCTCAAAGAGCTGAACAGTTTTAGCTGAAACTTTCGGAAAAAAAAGATTCAGGTAGATGCAGACAAGTTTCAGGCTGAAAGTTACAGCATAAACAGTTATAACAGGGACTTAAGATTGCCTAACAGTGTCCATTGTAACTATAGACATAGTTACCAGCTCCATCTATAACTGAAGCAGTCTTCTGTTGTACGGGAAGCTAGAATCCTTCACTCCGATACTGGCAGGTGTGATGATTTTGGAGTTTTGTCTATACATCTTACGAAATGATATTATGAAATGTATCATTAAATTGCTGTATCAAGGAAAGCCTCTGTATGTGTATCACCATGAACTGGCAAGATTGTACCATGTCTTCCCCAGACCAGGGACAATGGGGAATATTTAATGTTAATGATGTTGCTTTGAAATACACAGGAAGTTGGAGCAGGAGGAAGAAAAAGAACAGTTGGACCAAGATCAGAGGAGGTGAGATTAGGAAGTAAGTACCCATGTTTCAGCAACCCAAGGAATGCCCTGCAGTAGATGGATTTGATAGTTCTGAACCCTGCTCAAATGATGCCCTGGGATGGTAAGGAAACTGCACCTACCGCAGGGCCCCTGACAGAGTAAACAGTAACCCAACTCAGAAGGCTCAATATCTTTGGTGGGATTCTGGGAGAGGGTGTGTTTAAGTTTCAGGAGAATCTGATGGGTCACTATTTGTTCAGGGGGATAGGCAGCTAGACAATAGGTTCCAGCTCTCAGGAGGGGGTACCAGACTGAAGGTCTGTGCTCTGGAATGTGCCTAAGGACCCCACACACTGGGGCATGGCTCGGATTCATTCAGGCTCCACAGGCTTAAAGCACCTCGGGCCATGGTTTTGGGTCCCTTCACAGCAGCCTAGTGAATGGCTGAGAGGGGCACATTTGATCGGCTTCTGTGCCAGTATGCAAATAAATTCTAAGTGGACTTTTAATTTATCCCAAGTTACTAATGTGATTATCCTCCAGTTTCAAAAATCTTTTCAGCTGCCATATTAATAAAAGTGATACTGAACATTTTTACCACCTTGAATGAAGTTAAGAGGATACCAATCAGCTTCAAAATCACACTTCCATCTAATTGATCTATTGAATTTTCTCACATCATTACAAGACACTTCTGAGATTACTGTGACAAAGAAATTAGAAATATCATTGCTGACAAAAACTGAAACAAAATGATCCTTGAAGGAAGGAAGGACACAGAAGACTGGTCTTAATCAGGTCTAGTATGGCATGCTATCACACCCCTTCAAATTTGCTGCTTAGAGGCAGAACCATTTGAGGCTGAAGTGGGTAATGCTGAAGAGAAAGACCACAGACTCCTCTGATGTAGGTGAGCCTGGTTTACTGAGTGCTTGGACTTCTGAGAATAGAAACCTAATGAAGATGACCATCAAGATCTGGAGAATTTGAAGGACTACTTTCTTCAGACAATATTTTCATACCTCTTAGAACACTGCTTTGTCAGACTTGCCAAAAGACCAGATGTGAAAAAATTCTCTAGGTCTAACAACATTATCAAAAACAAAATACATTTCTTAAAGTTAACTAATTAAAATTATAATTATGATGTTTGGATCCAACTCCTTTAAAAAAAAAAAAAAAGTGGCAACTTGAAAAGGTCAGACAGCAAATATTCCTGGGGAGGGCGGGGAAAGAAGGAACCACTTACCAGCAAATCAAAAACTTCATTAACATCTTTTCCACGAATCTCAATGCCATTAATTTCCAGAACTTCATCCCCTTCATGTAATAACCCACTCTTCTCTGCAGCACCCCCTTTCACTATTCGACTAATGATGACAGAATCCATTTCATTGCGCACTGTAGCACCCTACACAATTGCAAATAGATAATCTGAATGTAAAACAAATATGAAACTCAGGGATATATACTGCATATATTTTAAACCAGTGGATAAAATTTCATATACTACAAATGAAAAACAAACTTAGATGAACACATCCAAAGCTTTGACTTAAAATAGATATTCAGTTCTTAAAGCAGAAACAGGAACTTCTAATCTGCTCAACAGTGATTAAATTTGAGTTGTACATTATGACAGAAATGTTTTAAAAAACCTTTTTTCCAAATAGGTTTATGTAGAACGTGAAAAACAGAACATAAGAAAGGTAAAAAATGCAGTTGTTGCCACAGTAAGGATTAAAACTCAGTTTCAGCAAACCCTGAGATACTGCCTTCTTTAGGAAGGCCTTCTTTCAAACCCATTGACTTTTCAACAGATGTACTACTGACTTTGCTCTAAATGGCAGCAACTTATGTTTCAATATTAGAATAAATTAATATAGCCTCAGTATAAGAAATATGCATCAGCCATAAACATTTTTATTTCATGAACCAAAATTACTATTTGCTCTCAAAGTTTAAACTGCATACCGATGATAAAATTCCAAAACAAAATAACGACCTGCAAAAGGAAAAAAAAAATTGTGTCCCCTACTTCACCTATAAAGAGAACACCTCTCTCTCAATAATTAAAAAAAAAAGGGGGGGGGGAGGGGTTTGAACACTACTATTAGGACAACTTCCCCCACCAGGGAGTCTGGAAGAATAAAAGTAAATTGGACAGTTCAAGCCTCATTTTCTTCCAGAGCAAGGGATCTGCTGTCAGAGTAACAATACTTACCAATGGAATATCTCGAGCCTTCTCAATGCGAACTATTTTAACTGTCTCCTCTCCATACAGGCCAAAGTTCTCATAAACCCTTTCATTTGTCACTGGCTCTGGCTGCATTTCTTGCTCTGCAACCTTATCATGAGCTAATAGAAGTGCCTAGTGTTAAACAAAACAGACAATACAGTTTAAGGAAATCATGCCTTTCATACCTACATGAAGCACAACAGAAATTCACTAATTTGTACTAACTAGGATATCCATTGCAAGTTAGAGAACTGTGCAAATTATCTGGTAAACAAATTAAAAAATCCTAAAGATCTCTATCACAATAGCATGGTTAAGTTTTAATTATACTAATTCATAGTGAGAGCCAGATATATTCCACAGCTGCAGAATTCACCCTTGCTGCGAAAGTGTGCTTCAGAATCTTAGTTTTTAAAAAGCTAATATTCTAGTCTTTATGATCAAGAACATAAGAAGGGCCATACTGGGTCAGACCAATGGTCCATCTAGCCCAGTATCCTGTCTTCTGACAGTGGCCAATGCCAGGTGCTTCAGAGGGAATGAACAGAACAGTGATTCATGTCCTGTTGCCCATTCCCAACTTCTGGAAGACATAAGCTATGGACACTTAAGAGCATGGTTTTGCATCCCAGCCCATCCTGGCTAATAGCCATTGATGGACCTATCCTCCATGAACTTATCTAGCTCTTTTTTCAAGCCTGTTACAATCTTGGCCTTCACACACCTTTGGGCAAATGGTTCCACAGGTTGACTGTGCACTGTGTGAAGAAATACTTCCTTTTTTGTTTGTTTTAAACCTGCTGACTATTACTTTTATTTTCAGTTCTTGTGTTATGAGGCATAAATAACACTTCCTTATTTACTTTCTCCACACCAGCCCTGGTTTTATAGACCTCTATCATATCCCCCCCAGTTGTCTCTTTTCCAAGCTGTAAAGTCCCAGTTTTATTAATCTCTCCTCAGATGGAAGCTGTTCCATACCCCTAATAATTTTTGTTGCCCTTTTCTGAACCTTTTCCAATATATCTTTTTTTGAGATGGTGCGACCACATCTGCACACAGTATTCAAGATGTGGGCATACCATGGATTTATATAGAGACAATATGGTATTTTCTGTCTTCTTATTGATCCCTTTCCTAATAATTCCCAACATTCTGTTAGCGTTTTTAACTGCCACCGTACACTAAGTGGATGTTTTCAGAGAACTATCCATGACGACTCCAAGATCTCTTTCTTGCGTGGTAAATAGCTAATTTATATGTATAGCTGGGATTATGTTTTCCAGCGTGCATTACTTTGCATTTATCTACATTGAATTTCATCTGCCATTTTGTTGCCCAGTCACCCAGTTTTGAGAGACGATTGCAACGATAACCTGGAAAACATGAAGTGAATGTAAACTAATCTAGTTTTCGCAAAAAGAAAAGGAGTACTTGTGGCACCTTAGAGACTAACCAATTTATTTGAGCATGAGCTTTCGTGAGCTACAGCTCACTTCATCAGATGCATACCGTGGAAACTGCAGCAGACTTTATATATACACAGAGAATATGAAACAATACCTCCTCCCACCCCACTGTCCTGCTGGTAATAGCTTATCTAAAGTGATCAACAGGTGGGCCATTTCCAGCACAAATCCAGGTTTTCTCACCCTCCACCCCCCCACACAAATTCACTCTCCTGCTGGTGCTAGCCCATCCAAAGTGACAACTCTTTACATAATCAAGTCGGGCTATTTCCTGCATAAATCCAGGTTTTCTCACATCCCCCCCACCCCCATACACACACAAACTCACTCTCCTGCTGGTAATAGCTCATCTAAACTGACCACTCTCCAAGTTTAAATCCAAGTTAAACCAGAACATCTGGGGGGGGGGGGGTAGGAAAAAACAAGAGGAAACAGGCTACCTTGCATAATGACTCATTATGCAAGGTAGCCTGTTTCCTCTTGTTTTTTCCTACCCCCCCCCCCCCCCCAGATGTTCTGGTTTAACTTGGATTTAAACTTGGAGAGTGGTCAGTTTAGATGAGCTATTACCAGCAGGAGAGTGAGTTTGTGTGTGTATGGGGGTGGGGGGGATGTGAGAAAACCTGGATTTATGCAGGAAATAGCCCGACTTGATTATGTAAAGAGTTGTCACTTTGGATGGGCTAGCACCAGCAGGAGAGTGAATTTGTGTGGGGGGGTGGAGGGTGAGAAAACCTGGATTTGTGCTGGAAATGGCCCACCTGTTGATCACTTTAGATAAGCTATTACCAGCAGGACAGTGGGGTGGGAGGAGGTATTGTTTCATATTCTCTGTGTATATATAAAGTCTGCTGCAGTTTCCACGGTATGCATCTGATGAAGTGAGCTGTAGCTCACGAAAGTTCATGCTCAAATAAATTGGTTAGTCTCTAAGGTGCCACAAGTACTCCTTTTCTTTTTGCGAATACAGACTAACACGGCTGTTCCTCTGTAATCTAGTGTTATCCTCCTGAGTTTGCTGACAGTCTGAATCAATGGCTCTGAGGGGTCTCAATACCCCATTTTACTTCACGTTAATTCTGAAACCTAAAGATGACAACCTTGTCAATCTGTAGTTTACTGAACGTACGCTGATAAAATCTAATGACAAAATCAGTTTAACAAACACAGGGGCTGCTGTACTGCTTATATTCATTTTCATATATAATTAAATACAAAACCTCCAGTTTTAATATTTGAAGCTGTCACTGTATTTTGATTATTTCCATTAAAGCACTGCAGAAATTAGTGGACTCTGCCACAAAATTTAAGTGCAGCTTGTCAGAGTAAACAGGGCCTTGTTCAGAGTATACTATTAAATATATATTTTTTTTAAATGTAATGAAGTTTTAGTAAAAAGAGACCTCACCGTAGCACTCAGCTATTAAATCTTTGCCAAGAAATGTAGTAGAAGCTATTTTACTTATAAGTTGCAAGCAATGCACATTAATCACATTCTTCTGTAACTGACAACTGTAAATTTCACTAGCTGTCAATTCTTGTTTGTACAGTAGTGATATATGCTGGAATTTATACCTATGGTTTCAGACTCCTCCACACTCCCAGAACACTTTTTTTAGGGGGAGGGAGGGAAGAGTTGGGAAGGAAAAAGAATACTTTCCCAATAAAAAGACCCCACTCCAGAGCCTCCAAGCTCCAGCAGTCAGCCCAAAGGAACAGCAAATATTCCCCCAAAACAGCCAGAAGCGGCAGGGCACGATTACACTCAGCCAGGGCCCCCCTATCCACTTAATACTTCCACAGCACTTCAACGCCACCAATAGCAGCAAACCACCCGCCCCCCACCCCTTTTTTTTTTAAAATCCATCTGAACTCTGGTCATTATCAGGCATTTGATGAATGCCTGTTTGCCCTTAACTTATCTTAGCTATTTCCCATCACAGGTCCTCTGTCACTCTCACTCTCCCTCCCCCATAAACCTTTATCTCCCTGTTCACTCTGTATGCCACACTTTTTTCCCTTCCCTTGTTTGGATAGCAAGCTGTATGGGGCAAAAGTCTGTCTTCCTATGTGTTTATACGGTGCCTAGCACCATGGAGCCCCAATTCTGATTGAGTTTTCGGGCAACAATGTAGAGGAAAATACTGTATTATATATCCATGCACCCAGTGCAGCTTCACTCTTCCAATGGTTATGTTTAAAGTCAATCTTCTGCCTTTTGCATAAACATTGAAGGCTGGCTTACTAGGTATGCAACTAAGTACACCTGAAGACTGGTGGCTGGCACTGAACCCAAGTGCGCATTTCAATAGTAAATGTCATTAGTAGCAGGAAGTTACAATTTTGTCACCTGTGAAACACGTTAAGTTTTCATTTTTCAATCACGTGGAGATTTTCCATATATTCGAGGAACACTCAGTTTTTAGCCTCAAGAAACAAGTTTCAAACCGGTGTTTTTACGGTGTTTGCAAGAAATAAAATATATAAAAACATTTTAAAAATCTACATAGTATAGATTACACAGTACCAGCTTTGCCTAGTTTTACCTGAATGTGAGGGGCATTCAGCAAAGCGCTAAGCTCCTGCCCATCTTTCTGGTGACTGGGTTTCAAAACACACTGTACCTAAAAGAGACCAAACAGTGAAAATCTGCTTTGTATAGTTGGCTAATTTAGCTCTGACTAAAGTTATCTTGAAGAAAGAAAACTAAATGTAATTAGCTATTTTACTGAGAGAAACAAAGCAAATCTGTATATTTATTACTCTGCCTCAATATATTTATAAAAAACTCTTAAGAAATAAGACATTTATGCAATGAGAATACATGAACTATTCTAATGTGTCAAATCAGAACTGTGCTTCTCTATCTAGGCTGTTATCCAGTACATTAGAGTGACATGAGCGGACAGTACTGATGGACTAGGCTACTATAGGGAATGAATAAAAGATTAAGATCTGTAAAAGGAGGGCAGTCATTAAAAAACTATAAATGAACACATCCCCACAAAAGGTAGCCTATTTACCAAACAACAGCATACCATCACAGACGTTTCTAAAATGTCATCTGGGTGACTCATAAATTACAGATAATTCCAGATTATTAATGTATTAAACTGCTTAGACCTTTTTCCTAGGAGTGGAAGATGGTCTCACTTTGTTCAAATTGCTGTTTCCACCGGCAGCAGAAAGACAGTGATTCTGATGCAGGGTTTCAACAGACCATGTCAAAGCCTTCCCTCAGACCCTGATAGAGTCATCAGACTTCCTTGTCTGGCTCTGAAAAATCCCTCTTGACAGGGAGGGGTGCCCTTTTCTTCTGCAACTCAGGATGTCAAAAAGCTTACAAGATTTACTTGGGAAAGCTGTCAAAAGAAGATGTATATCTCATGCCATCCTGACTACCAGGTCCTGACCTGCCATTGCTCAGAGGGAAAGACAAAGCAGAAAGGACGCCCTTATCTGGTGAGGAGGCTGAAGGGGGTTCCATCCATGGCTCTTATTCCTAGTCTCATCCTCCTCTGAGAAAATAAAAATATATGGGTTCAGAAGCACTGATGACCTTGAAAAGTCAGGCGAAAGTGACTGAAATGTCATTACAAGAGCCTTCCCCATTTTTAGGATCAAAAGACTGCTCTCTTTCAACTTTTGGGATATTCTTTCATCCTCCACTCTTACTGATGACTTATCAGAAGGTGGTGGTAGAGGGTCAGATACCCAGAAGTGCTAAGAAAAGGGAAAAGAGAAAGATGATTGGTCCAGCAAAACAACTGAAGGTCCCATGAAGTTCTAGTGCAATATTTGATTATGAAGAGCACCTGCAGCAGTGCTAGGAGCTCCTCTCTCATATCTGGTCCCATGGTAAGGGCCACATGGCTGCGCACTTGGAGCTTTGATCAGCCTCGCTGTTTAAAGTCTCCAAGTAGTTAATTCTCCATGGTAGTGAGAGGCAAGAGGTGAGCTAAGCAGGGTACTTGGTATAAAAAGTAATTTGTTAGGTGTACATGACAGCCGTTAACAGAATTACTCAAGAGGAGAGTTTCAGAGAGAGTTTAGACAGGGCATGAAAGAGGCTTTCCCTCCTGGTTCAGCTCTGTGCGATTTCAAGATGGCCAGTGATGGAACAGTAGTGGTGACCTGCAGTGGATGTGCCATGTTTTCTTTCCTGCCTGAAGCCAGAACAGATTTCCTGTGCATGAAGTGCAAGTTGGTCACTATGCTGGAGGAAAAGATTACTGGATTGGAGAGGCAAGTAAAGACACTACTGAGAATCAGAGAAGGTGAGGAGTTCCTAGATAGCAAGGTTCAGGGAACATCTGTGCCCCAGCTTCAAGGAAGAAAGGAAGAGGAAGTCGGAGAGGAGGCCTTGCTGTTCTTAATCACCAGAGACAAGAGGTCAGGGTGGCATTCCAGCATCTAGAGACAGGCGAGAGTGGGCACAGTGTGGCCACCAGAAAAATGCGGAGGTATGACTCACATGACTGGAATGTTAAAAAAATGGTTATAACCTATTCAGGAAGGATCAAGTAGACAAAAGAGAAGAAGTGATGTGATGTCAAAAATGGCATTACTTGTTTCCCAGTCACTGATAACTTGGAAGACAATGATACTGAATGCTTATGGATCAATGTCCTAACAAAAACACCAGATGGGGTATTGGTCAGTATCTGCTACAGAGCACCAAATCACACTTTGGAACAGGATGACTGGCTCCTTATTTACCTATCTTTAATGTGTGTGTCGGGGCGAAATGCTGTGTGATCATGGGGGACTTCAATTTGAGTGATGTGCTGGAGGTCTGATCTTGCCAATGCTAAAACATCCTGGGAATGTCTAAATAGTACTGAGGACAATTTCCTAACTCCAAGTGTTACAGTCAACATGGGGGAATTCTATATTAGACATCTTGTCAGAAAGAGGAACTGATCACAGAACTAAAAATTAATGGTAGCTTACATACAAGACCTGATCACATTTATAATGTGCAAACAGAATAAAGTACAGATCAGTAATTTTATTTATTTATATATAGAGAGAGAGAGAGACAGAGAGACAGAGACTCTACTTTGAAAGGGATAATTTCACAAAACTGATTAAGATTATGAGCCAAATCAGCTGGGATGAAGAATTTAATCAGAAAAATGTAAATGATAATTTGGAATGGTTTATAAACACTTTCCTAGATCTCCAAAAAGCCATAAGCCTACAAATCAAGGAAGAAAGCCATCTTGGTTAAAAAACTGACCTAGTTTAGAAGGAAAGTGAAGGCAGCTATAAAGAAACAATAAAATAGTATAAAACAAAAGGAAGAAATTGATAGTAATGAATATAAATCAGAAGCCTGGAATTGTAAAAAATTGGTAAGGGAAGCCAAGGGCCACAAGGAGAACTCTATGGTCATCAGGGTTAAGGACAATAAGGAGGAGTTTTTTCAAGAATAATAGGCTCAAAACGAATCCTTACAATGATATTGGTTCATTACTACATGGAAATGGCAGAATTGCAGAAATGTTCAATTAATATTTCTGTTCTGTATTTGAGGGGAAAAATAGATGTAGTAATATCATATGATAACACTTTCCATTCTACTAGTATATCAGAAGAATATTGAACAGGTTCTACTGAAGTTAAAAATTTTAAAATCAGCAGGTCCAAATAGCTTCCATCCAAGTTTTAAAAGAGCTGGCTGAGGAGTTCGCTGAACAGTGAATGTTGATTTCCAGTGAGTCTTGGAACACCGGAAGTTATTGGTGCGTCAATATTTTAAAAGAGTAAACAGGATGACCTGAGTAATTACAGGCCTGTCAGTCATCATTCCAGGGCAAGGTAATACAGCAGCTGATATGGGACTTGAATAACAAAGAATTAAAGGAGAAAAATATAATTAATGCTAATCAACATAGATTTATGGAAAATAGATCCTTATTTTATGAGATTACAAGTTTGTTTGATAAAGGTTACAGTGTTGATTGGAAATATCATTGGAATAATTTACCTATGATCATGATGGCGTTTCCATTACTGGCAATTTTTAAATCAAGATTGGATGTTTCCTAAAATATATGCTCTAGGAATTATTTTGGGGAAGTTCTATGGCTGGTTATACAGAAGGTCAAACTAGATGATCACAACGGTCCCTCTGACTTTGGAATCTATGAAGCTGACATCCCCACAGTAGAACAAAAAAATCCATTAGCACCAAAGCAGAAGCCTCTAGACAGAGATTCCCACAGCTCCTAGCTGCCAAGGAGACACTGAGCCCAAAAGGAAGTAATTGCAGTTTGGTACTGAGAACACTGGTGAACCCTTCGAGCATCTCCACTGAGGTGTTTTGGGGAGATCAAGCCAAGGGGATCTAACAAAGGTCTCAAGAAGGATGGAAATGATCCAGTTCAGAGCTGAATATATATTTTTTTCTTCTTTGCAGCACCCTGAGGTTTGAGGTAGGTCAGCTGCACCATGGCCCGGTGACATCCATCAGTTGATGTACTATGAGACTCCTTCCTGTCAGTGCCATACGATTTCTTAGAGCTGCCAGAAACCAGAAGAACTTCTGCCAGCTTTGTCTGATGAGCTTGAATCTTCAAAAGTCTGTTGCCATGAGGAACCTTCTTTACAGGATGTATTCTCCAGAGAGCAACCCTTCTCCATCCGTTTTGACTCGACAGATTTTTGCACTCAAACAACTTCACAGAACCCGTACTTGTTTGAGATCTCCCCTTCTTCCTTGCCTGATGAAGGTTTTTGCATTAAGAAATTCTGCAGCCTCATCTCTCAATCCTTTTGGACCCCTTTGGAGAAGGATGAGCACACAGATCAATTCCTTGCCTCAGCAGTGCCTGACAACATTCTGAATGCTTGTAAGAGGCTGGAGATTTAGTGAGGCAAAAGGTTCACCTCTTGAAACCATGTTTCTTTGTCATCAAATCCATTGTAAGAGTTGGATCTGACATCCCCTCTAAATCTAAGGAATTTATAAAAAACCAAAAAATACCTAATACAAAGAACTACCTACAATTATATACTTTTTTGTTTGGTTTACTTAAGAATTTGAGACTTTTTCCTAAGCTACTGCATGATGCATAAATGGAATGGACAGGTTTCTATACTGCTACATCTGGCAGAAATCAGAAATGGGGACCATTAGTTGGGGCAAGCTATTTATTCTGTTGCCCCATATGAAGACCCACAGACATTACTGCTTCAAAAAGGGTTTATGGCCATGATTCCTACACAGTGGTTTTATGGAGGCAATGTCAGAAATTAAATTTCTTCCTCCCGCCCCCCTTTTTCTTTTTTGAAGTATCCATGCCTGCCAACCTGGCCCATTGAGACATTTTTCGTGCATTGTGTTTTTCTTCACTCAAATTGGATTGCTATTTGGAATAGTTTCATAGTTCTTTAAATGCTTTCATTATATGTATTCAGATGAAATACTACATTTCTCCTCTCTATACATTTAGTACCTTTATTACATCTGTGGGACTATTTAATTCTGGCAGATATAATAGCATGTAGAACATGTGTATCTTCCAGTGTGTCAGATTACTATGCTATGGTCTGTAATAACTTCTGCAGATGTGAACAACTGTTCACAAATGGGGTTACTGTGATTCAGCATCAGAGC